TAATAATATAATTAATTAAAATGACCTATATTATATTAATAAGTAATTCATGCATAATATTAATTTCACTTGCCAACACGCGTTCGCGCCGCACGCTCAGCACGGGCAAGTTGCTGGGGTCGCTAAAGCCTCGCCCCGGCGAGCCAAAATTCAAGACCTTCATCGCTATGGTCGCGAAGACGCGCATCGCCGCCCTACAGACTACCGTGAGCGCCCTCATGTTGCCACTCAGTGAAATGAGTGGGACTTGGTCAAAATAGCGATACACTTTGTACCCTTGTGTGAGCTAAGCTAACCCAGTGTTAGTGAATTTGATAGTATGGTGAACAAGTTGCTGATTAATATTGCGGTCACTTTATTCAATCAGAGTTTCTAATCGTGTTTGTTCCCCAAGTACGATCGGCTTCTCTGAAAGTTTTTTAGATTCATCGTGAAATTTATCGAAGAATAAAACTCATTTTATATATGAACTTTTCAAGCGCATTCGAGTAAAATTTGATATTTTGAAGCAATAAGACTTCATTGAAATCATCGAATGCCACTATTTTCATTATTTTTTGTTCGAACGAATTCGCGAAGAGCCTTTCTCCTAATTTGTTAGAAACACCTTTCAATCGAAGCAATAAAAAACAATTTAGCTCGAATAGTTCTATTAATTCTTTATAAAGAGGAAATTTAGTTTAAAGTAAATAGTTGAATAAGTTTAAATGTCAAGTAGTAACTTTAGAGTAGTAGTAAAAAATGCTTCTACCACTAATCGTTCGTTTAAGGCTCGCACCGTAGGCCTGATGGGTTCTAAAAACGAGTGGCTGTTTGTCGTGTCGGATTCTAACGACATGGCGGAGGACATGTCGCCGTACATGGCAGACATGGAGGACGGTGACAACCTTTCTTTCTTTTACAACACGTCAGTGGCCCAGCCCACACAGCCATGTCAGGTCGGTGACCATGTCAGGTCATATCAAGGTTGGTATAAATTCAATGGTCTAATCCACGTCAGCTAAATGGTCTCAAGTTGCAAACCAAGCTAAGTTAATAGCTACATCAGACAGAATGTGGGTTATTTCAATTTACGGGATGTGCACATGTTTTATCACCTATGATCAAACTTCACCTATGAATTAAGCTGAATAAAAATATCTTCTCAACCAATAATATCCACTTCCACTTAAGGACACATTGTATCAATTGAATAACTCTGAATTCGAATTTAATTGAATTACATTGAATTAGAAGGAAAATTTGATAGTGAAATTTTTACCTGAATAATGACTTGAGTATGGTAAATTAATTAACATGATGTGTGTGTACGACAATTACAGGATGAATTCAAATGTGTTCTGGGTCTGGCAGTGGAGCAATACGCCACTCAACTATCTGTAACTCTGGAGGAAACGCTCGAGATTTTCCACAAGGTATTTTTAAACACTTGGCAGTTAAGCAGCATTTAATGACAAATATTTGTACATTTCTCACTGAAATTAATTGTGCGAATAATTGTACATATATCCTCAGAATTGTATTGTTGATAGGTATTACATAGTAAATTAATGAGGACAAATGACTTATATATACTCACTGCTTCCATTATTTTTATAATGCACAAAATGGCGCTCCGCATGCGAACAAACTGCGTATATCAATATCAATTTTTATCAATAATAGACATCAATTCCGATGAATTATTTTACACGAAAGCCCCTGAAACTTAATCTGCAATTACTCGACAAGATCCTATAAGATAGTCATTGTTTAATAGAATGAATATACAATAATATAATGTATAAAATAAAATGAGTGGCCGCTGAGTTTGTTCATTATTTTGGGAAGTTCAGAAGAATATTTATGTTAATGAGCGACACGAGCTGATCTGCTGTGCGAAGGTTGAACGCGTTTATTGGCTTATGCACCACAAGCTCATAATTTATTTAATAAAAATTGTTGAAATATCTAAGTGAAATAGCTATAAATTTTTATGTGCTACATCGAATAATCTAGTCAGCAGAGGGCAATTTCTTATGAGTTCTGAGAAATTAAATTAAAACAGTGATATTATAAATATTATTATAAGATTAAAACATGATAATGACGACAATATTATGACGTAAAATTTAACAGGTTTTGAGATTTTTAAAATGCAGTATTTCAAGCTTCCTCATCTCGGTGTGCTGCAGGTGTCAGAGGAAGAGTGGGCTGAGATGAAGCCCACTAAAGCTCAACGGTCGGAGGCAATTATAAAGAAAATCAAGGTAATCATTGATTTTCCTAACCTAACCTAACCTAACCTAACCTAACCTAACCTAACATAAACTAACCCTAACCGTAACCTAACCTAACCGTAACAATGTATGCCAAATAACGCATTTTTTTTAAAGGTTGTTCCCTTGTTCATTCAATCTGTATACATCAATGATTTAGAAGGAAAGCAAGGATATTTTTCACTGAACAAATAATGTAAGTTGTAACAACTTATTTATTAACAACCTGGAGGATATTTATATGTTCGTATTTTAAAGGTATTTTTTTTCTATCTAGAAGTATTATTGCCTAATAACTCAATCACGGAGATAGCAAATAAGATGATTAAAATTAGAATGCTATAATTATACTAGTGAATATACCACCTGCAGGATAGGAATAATTATTGCAATTACAAATTAATTGATGTAGTCCAAATAATAAATGAATGCTCTAATTAAGGTAAACAACGTATTAATTTAAGACGAACATGCCTGCTACAGGACGCACTCACCAGCATGTCGCGCTGCCACCGCTGCACCTCCTGGGAGGCTCAGGCCGTCGAGGTTAAGGACGCTGATCGGTGAGTGGCACCGGGGCCGTAATAAATTGATATAAATAAATATCAATATAATTATCACTTCGTAACTCCGTCAGCCAATCACTGACGGCTTATCAGATTAAATTCACCAATCACAGGCGAGAAATCAGCCGTTAAGTGTACTTCGCTTGCTACTTGTAATTCGGCCGCTATTTGTACTGAGGCCGCTACGTATACTTAGGCCGCTACATGTACCATGTACCAAGGCCGCTACGTTTACTAGGTCGCTGCGTTTACTTAGGCCGCTACGTTTGCTTATGCTACTACGTGTGCCAATGGCAGCTACCTGTACTTCCGAGAGTTTTGGTATAATGCCATGAAAACTTTGCATTATCTTGCTCCGTTTCTATTATTTAATTATCTAACTTTGATTTTATCATAAATAATGTCATAATAACTAATGAGCTAAATCACAATTAATTATCCGAGTATCGAATGGGATGTTAGTGACCAAAGTCTCGATAGATTCGAGCTGCTGAAAAGCGCTCGCTGGACCCCGCTGACCGGCGTCACGGTGTACGACGATCTCTTCCCGCACGTCACGGGCGGCTTTAGGGGGCGACGCATCAAAGTGACGTCTACTGACGTGAGTACTGCTTCTGTACTTAGTGAATATTTCTACTTATTGTACATACTGTACATATTTTAATTATTGAACATATTGTATTTATTGAACATATTCTACTTATTGTACATATTGCACTTATTGTACATATTGTACTTATTTACTACATAAATAAGTAGATACATAAGTAGATACTTATGTATCTACTTATTGGAAATAAGTATTATGTACTTATTTCCACCAAAATTTCAATGTTTAATGCTTTTTCTAACTTGAAAATGAATGTTTGTTGCATTCGAAACGTCGTTAATAAATAAGAATTACTTCCTGAAATTTGCCTTTTAATCTACCGTCATCTGAAGAAAAGTTCCATTCCCTGATAATATAAATCAACGAATTCTCTGGTCATCGCTCGCACGTGTGTAAACAATTAAATCCTGCCATCTAATATTAATTGTACTTATTGAAGATTTTCTATTTATTGTACATATTGTACCTATTGTACATACCGTACTTATTGTACTAATTACACTTATTGTTTTAATGGTATCTAATATACTTCTATTAGAAATTAGAATATATTATACTTCTATACAGAAATTCTCTCTGGACGTAAGCGCATTGATAGGAATTTAGTGGACAATCATTGATTCACTCCACGATACACGGCAATTAAATGACTTGACGGTTTGATGGCTGACCTCCAAATAATCAAATGATGAATGTATTGTCAATTATTCAATCGAATAGTGGGTACGGTAATCATTCATCAATAATAATTTAGTCGATGAAGTCAATTAGAGGTGTCTAAATTGTAGAAAAAATTGAAAGTAAGGAAATAGTTCAAAAGACCCGTAAAATGTTGCGATCTAAATTATACGCTCTTGATACAATATTCTAACTTAGTCATTTCGAACGTCGTAAATTCAGAAACAGTGGATAACTTTTTCACTTTGAATTAGAATAGAGTTAACGTCAGTGAAAATGCATTGATGCAAATCGTATTCTCATTTGATTTTAATTCATCGTCCCGATGTAGAGTGCGGTTTCAAATTATCGCTTGCATTTTTTCCCCTAGTTTATAACTTAGATTGAATATTCGAAGCTTGAAAGCGCATTCTTTAAATATTTACGAAGTGACGTCACTGAAAGATCCATTATTCAACGCTGTAATGCACCTGTCTTCATGCAAGACCAATGCAAATACATTTTTAACGCTAAAATTGGTCCAGAACTGTAGGCAAAGGAGTTTTTGTGTTTGGCTGAAGTTCGAATCCCTTATTCAAAATCACGTGCTGATAATGATCGCGTTTTTGTGAATGCGCATTGAGTATTAAAAGGAAGGCTTGGTCATGTGAGAATATATATCAGCCGCCCGTCGTTTGTCAAAATTTTCGTGGTACTTATTTGATTGAGAGATAGAAAATTAATTGACATAGAATTATATTCAAGATATTTCATATATATAGCTCGAAAAATATTCTTGTAAGTTGTTTAATGTAACAGTAAGTTAGTTATAGTGAAGTAAAAACTTTGATATTTCAATGTAGTTTTGTATGGAAGAGAATAAATTTGATGTTGACGGTTGGTATGCTGAACTATTACCTTCAAATTTCTCCCGGCAAGTAATAAGCTGCGTAACTCCAGCTCCTCCTAGGCATTAAAATCTTAGATTTAATAAATTATTGTTTGAACATTTGTTACTCAAAAAAATATGCACTTACAACCGTTGGGAGTCCTTCCGAGTGCTGAAATTGCGGAGACGGAGCTTCAGTGTGCTTGAATTATTCATCTAATAAATCTTTTAGAGCTTCACCGAATTTGCTGCACGCCTGAGCTGCGTTCGACGGTCGATCGAGATTACACCGTGACCGAGCTTCACGTTATAGCTCGGCCTGGTAAACCGTAGGCCATTTATTGTGGCAGTGCAGTTAAAGTCTAATAATCCTGTGAATGTTTTCACGTGTTGTCAAAACTAATTTTTATAGGTTAATTCTGTTCTTCAAAATTTCGTCTTTTAGCAATATGTATAGTATTGAGTGATTCTTTTTACAAATTTTGTTATGGAAATAATTTATTTGACTTTTCCACTTGATGGGTATAGATATTGCTTTATAACAATTTATAAATTTTGATGGGTATAGATATTGCTTCCGTTTGCAGTAGCAATGCCACTTTTCAAATGTATTTATTGTATGTTATACGATGTAGGCCAACTCATTTAAAATTTAAAACCATGCATATTTATGTATATATAAACAATATAGAGACAATAATAGGAGCAGCCAGCGGCATGACAGCCTCATTGCGTATTTCTTCGGCGTTGCTAGCAAGTATAATAATAAGTGATGAGTTGATGAAGTTTATCACAGGGATGAAGCGTGAACTATTGGCCGTTGGGCGTCAAACTTCTTTTGTTGCCTGTAATTTACGAGCTTGTTATGGTTCAATAATTCCTGGCATTCACATTCACGTTTCAAGTTATTAATTATGTATTTTACTAAAAACACTTGGTAATAGTTGCCTATATTGTAAGAAACCTGACATGATTAAGAATCATGATTCGTGATCATTTCATTCTTCATATCGTCATAATAATAAAATAATAAATAGCTCATGTATTAATATTAAGCTCATATGGCAAATTAAAACTGGATATTTAGCGTAAATTACTTGCAGTTTAGAGACGTGAATTGAACAAAGAAGGCTTAATAAGTACCTAAACTTTTCACTGAGTGATTGTGCAACATGATCGACTTGATACTAATTTTGTTACCAAAGTTAGTAATGCCTGGTTTTATTGCTATGAGCGTAAACTGTTTAGTATTTATATTGGAAAATAGAGTCGATAGTGAATTTGCGCTGTGAGATCACAATGTCACTGATAGTGGCGATAACTGATAACTAAATAAATTTGATAGTGGCGGATAACTGAAAGATGATAAATTCAGTGATTTGAAACTTTTCAATACTGTCAATTTATTACACGAAATTTTAAACTAAATAATTTATGCAACCTAAGTAGAAAATCGAGAACCAAGTTTCCCTATTAAGAAAGAGTTTATCTACTAAAGGGGCTAACCTAAAACTTATCTCACTGAACCTCGCCGTAAGCCCATGTCAACCGGCCGCATCAGGTTAACCTATTTAGGTTAACCACTATTATCAGAGCAACGCTTGGTTAATTTTTTATTTATATAGCACTAGATATGTGATCATATTCCTATTATTATCGACTATAATTCTAACTATATACGATTATATTCGCCATGCCAGAATCCTCCGTGGCACAAATTTGTGAGAGACAAGAACAACACGATTGTGGGCTACACTGGACTCATGTTCGACATCTTGAATGAAATCGGACGAAGACTCAATTTCACGTGAGTTGCATTGGAAAATAATTTAGTAGTCTTAACAGAAGAATCTAATTAGACTTGATTCACATTCGACAGTTAAACAGTTTTATTTGCAATACAAAAGATCACAGTGAAAAAATATACGAGCAGTTACAGTAAAATATTCACAAGCGACGTTTGTTTCCACAAACTTACCGGTAGCTTTAGTAGCCATGCTGCACCCGATGACGAAGATATTTTCTTTTCATTTATGTTGATTAATAAGCTTATAATTAGTTATTGGAATTATTATGACGCCAGATACGAGGTGATCCCGCCGCCAGAAATCAACAAGTTTGGAGTGCTGGAAAACGGACGCTACAACGGCATGATGGGACAGATCACGAGGAAGGAGGTGATGGAGTGGGGATTATTTGTGATATTAAGTGTGTGTCTGGAGTGAGGCAGGCCATGAGGAGCGGGTGATGGCATGGGGGTGTGACCGTGTGAGTGATGTTGAGTGTGTGTGGAGTGAGGCAGGGCATGAGGAGCGGGTGACGGCATGGGGGAGTGAGTGATGTTGAGTGGGTGTGGAGTGAGGCAGGCCATTAGAGCGGGTGACGGCATGGGGGAGTGAGTGATGTTGAGTGAGTGTGGAGTGAGGCAGGCCATGAGGAGCGGGTGACGGCATGGAGGTGTGAGTGATGTTGAGTGTGTGTGGAGTGAGGAGCGGCTGATGGTATGTGCGAAGTATTTGAAGTAATTAGGCTCGTGTGGGAAACGATGGATATCCTAAGCCTGAGAAGTGAGACTGGCTATGAGGAGAGTGAGGCATGTGAAGTATGCGGATTCGGAGAGGTCTTTGAGAGCGTGAAGAATGTAGAATGTACGGAAAATGAACGAGTCGATTCAAAGTAAAAATCAATAAGGTGATTGTACACGAGGATTGTACATTTAATGGTTGGGGAATGTATCGGTCTATAGGGGTAAAATAAATTGGTCTGATCTCATATGTGCGAGAAGATGTTCTTCAGTAAGAGAAGTTAGGCATTACGCAAGGACGTGTTCTCAATCCTACCTGTTACAGGTACATTTTGAGTATTGTTGCTCGTTTATCTTCTCTGAAATTGATAATAAAAACGTGAGAATTCGAATATATTTAACGTTGAATATTAGCATTAGATGGCAGAATTTGTTCTTTTATATAAGGTCGACGAAGTATCGGTTCATTTAAAAATTTCCTTTATTTTTTATAAGTCAAACTATATTTTTTTGTTGACAGTGTTAATTAAATGTATGCACTATATGCAATGATCCCGTCTATCATATATGAAATAGGAGAGTGATCCGGTCCTTTTTTAGGGGCGATATTACGTATTAAAAAGATTATAACTCGCTGTGGCATTCCTGCTTAATTCTTAAACGCAAATCTTCTTGAACATAGATGCTAATGAGGATATATTAACCAGAGTTATTTTTCTTTAAATACAGTCCTATCTTACCTCAAATCGCCGAGGGAGGCTTTTGGGTGATAGGGAAATGTCGAGAGTTTCAGGAGTCATGGAAATGTTGTGGAAACGCGGAAAATGTGAAGAGAACATTCTCATGCGGAGTGTTATGTTTAGTGGTAGAAGAAAAAAAATCGAGAAAGTGATACTATTTCTCCGCAATTATTATCAATTGCTAATTAAAAATCATTACTAAAATGTAATGAGAAAACCCTGTAACCACGAAGGTGCTGGTGGGATGCGGTGCCTTCACAGTCACTAACTTAAGAAAGCAAGTCGTCGACTTCACGACCGTGATAGACAAGCAGCCGTACACCTACATGATCGCCAGGCCCAAGGAACTCTCAAGGGTTCTACTCTTCGTTGAGCCTTTTACATCTGATGTGAGTATTATTCCTGTGACCTGCACTCCAATAATATTTAAGATTAGAAGGATTCTTCATGTTCAGGAGGCCATTTCAGAGCCGATAGACAATAGGAGTTTTGTTCAATATTGTAACCAAATGCCATGTCAGTGGGTCAGTGGCAGAAAATTTTTTCATTGTAAATTCAGATTTTTCATAGCAATTTAGGTTATACTCATGGTCAAGCAAGGCGCGTTGGCACTATGCATGACAACTTAATTTCTTTAATTGATAGTTTTTCCATATCGCACTAAGTCACTATTAATGAAATTGTCCCATAGTTCAGCATTTTGCTATCGCAAATTAGGCATTCAGGCTCTAACATGCTATGATATTTTGGGATTTCAAGTCACGCTTTACAGATCAGCTGACGTCACAGTCAACTGCATAATTTCAAGAGTCTAATTATTTCATAGCAAAATACGTATTGTTTAAACTTTGAGTTACGAGATTGTATTTGTATCTATTGACTGTCAGACGTGGATCTTGATCGCCATTGCAACATTGTTGATGGGGCCTATCCTGCACCTGGTGAACAGCCACTCCCCGTTCTACGCGTACTATGATCTGCACCGCGGCCGGGGGCTGTTCACATTACAGGACTGTTCCTGGTATATCTTCGCGTCCGTCCTGCAGCAAGGTCAATTACCTGACATGTCGATTTAATTATTCATCATTACCTTAAATTTAATTTAAATTTAGATAAATTAATTTAAATACCAAATTTAAGTGAATGAATTATGTTGCTATATTTAGAAACTGTCAAGTCAATTCTATTTGCTCATTAGTTATTCGATGAGTATGCAAATTCGTTAACAACATTTTACATTGTTACGAGTATAATTCGCGATATTTTTAAATATTCCGACAATTAGATTAATTAACTATCTGAGAAATTAATGTAAAATGAAATATATTTTATTCCATCGTATATAAAGTTGTTAATTAAATTTGTAGGTAAATGTTTCATTAGGGGAATATTATATCTAAGTTTTTTTCTTCTGTTTTTCAAATTCTTCAGGAAAAAATTAGTTCCTTAAAAAGAATGTATGCAATTTATAAATATCATGAATAAATTTTTCATTTGCCTCCTAATTCATCGATATAAATCTTCTTAACTTTTATACCTCAATTTCTCAGGCACCAAAGCATTAATATAATTAAGTTACAATATATTGGGATGCAGGTGGAGACAGGATGCCGATGTGTCACTCGGCTCGTGTAGCCCTGGGATTCTGGTGGGTGTTTGTGATCATCATCGTCACGACGTACTCTGGCAACCTCGTCGCTTTCCTCACATTTCCCAAGGTACTCAAGCAAGATTCATTCTCCCCTCATTCATTAACTGAGGTCTTGATTACGTCGAAGTATAATATAGACGCAGCTTCCGCCTTACTGCTTTTCTGGAATTATCGATGATGTTGTTGTGCCCTTCTGTGTTTATTCATTGGTAGTATGGCCGAGTGTTGTTGAGGATTAATTACGTTGTTGTATTTTTACTGCTAATATTTAATTGGTGCGGTTGTATATTTTTATTAGCTTGAGAACGCAGTCCAGACGTTGGATGACTTACTGGCAGCGAGATACTCCATGTCCTGGGGCTACGTTGGAGGTGGTGCATTGCAGGATTACTTCAAGGTGGGCTACACTGATTACTTATATGTATGTACTAATCGTATGATTATATTATATGAAATTATATGCATTATATAGCTATGCTTGATTGTAAGTTGCACATATTAGGTGTTATATGCAAGGTTTTCTATGAAAAATTATTACTCCTAACGCAAAACCTTATTTAAAGTTATGAATAAAAATGTGTTAAGACAGAAAATACGATAGGTAGTTAGAAAAAGGCTTAATCTAAAGCATTTTTGCGCTGATTATTCTAAATTTGGGATGGTTTACTCTAAGAACGTGCGGCGAATCTTAGCCACCTATGCCAAACTCTTGAAAAAATGAATTAAATAAGCTGTCAGACTATTTACAGCAGAAGAAATGCTTTACGCGAGGAAGTTTGTCTCTCCTTGATACTAGACGACACCAATGCAAATAAAATGCCCAATGGAAGTGTTGATATGTGTGATATTTAGACCAAAAAAATCCTGAATAAAATTAATACACCCTAAATTTGGTTTGAAAACGCTGAGTATCCTGCAATTTATAATGATGGTTCCAGATCTCATCATAAGCACTCACCGGTCTGTGGTATTAGTAAAAAACACATTAATTTAATATAAAAGATAATATTTCATAAAAAATTGCATAAGGTTTAATCAAATATTAAATTTCACTTTCTGTTAAGCTATTTTAGTTCAGAGCTGCATACTATGCAAGAAAAATAAGTAAATAGCACCTTCATGGGAATACCATCTTGCCCTATTTATTATTTTATGCTTAAAACTTACTGATACTGTAATTTTGCTTAGATAATGAATGATGTGGCATTTTGCTTGCCCTTAAACCAAAGATCACGTCTTAAAAAAACATGTTCGCCCTTTGAATTTCTCCATGCTGGGGAATGGCATGCCTTTGTGGCATCAGTACGTCATATAAAATTTAGGTTATAGGTTAGAAAATATCAGGTAAATAATAATGATTTTTATACAGCAAATCAGTATATCTTTGTACAATAGTCTTAAATTACGAGAAAAAGTCATCAAGAATATTTCGAGACAAAGTCATCAGCGTTATTAAAGAGGTTGAATTTAATTATTATTATGGTCAAAATACAATTCTCAAGGAAATCCAAATGGTCAGTGCTAACAATTGCTTGAAGGTTAACTGATCCCTAATTATTTGCATGGTCATTGATAATAATTCGAATAGGTAATTTTTTCCATCGCTCGATATTGAATCGCCGTACCCTGGAATATCGCCTTAGCTAAAAGTAAACACGAAAAAAACCATAGCAAAGTACAAAGATCTTATAATTACTCGTTGATGTTACGCGCAGAAATGATATTTTATTCCTCTATACGGTATCTACATCAGCCATCCTGCTCGTCTGCCGACAGCTACGGCCAAACATGACAGAGGTCGACATGTTGTTCCTCATGACAAGGCCCTCGAATAATTCAGTATCGTTGATGAATAATTCAATATAGTTGAGTGTTTAGTATCGCTGCTGAAATAATTATGTATAGTTAGGTATCGTAGATCAAATAACTGAGAATTACTTATAATTACTTATTTTTGAGTATTCAGCATCGTAGCTCAAATGATTTAGCATCGTCAATGAATAATTTAGTATCGTTTACTGTTGGATATCACAGTTAATATAATTGAGAATCGTTGATGTTCAATTCAAAATCAAGTAATTGCTCGTTGTACACAGTCTAGTCCAATTACTGTACACTTTCAGTCCCCATTAAGGGAGTTGTATGACCGTTATGTAGTATTGGTCAACTTGCCATCAAAGTTCTGCAGCGAATGACGGAAGCTTTCAATAGTGTTCTTCAAACCTGTCTTGAACACGCTTCCTTGCTGCGAGTACAACTCCTTTTCCTCGCCCAATAAGTGCGTGAACAAAATTTGTGTCTAGTTCCGGTATTCTTGAACGTACCGCGCTGCTAGCTCAATGCTTTTCTTCTTGAACTCTTTCAACAGATCTTTTTGAAACTCAAATAACCCTTTCCGTATTTTATTTGTCTCTCTTGCCACCGTCCATAAAGCTGAGTATTTTTCTGTATGATGTTTTGATGTAATTTTTCTTTTACGTGGATTCGAATTAAAAATAGTTGAGCCCTTGCTATTGGAGCTGTGCTCATGATTCTTACTGTAGCCCTTTCCACCCGAACACTGATTCGTTTTCAACTTAAGTTTGAGCTCACTGGGGCTGCGCTCGCCCTCCAGAGCAGAGACCTTCATATCTTGGCCTTACGCTTGCTCATGAGTAATGCTGGTCTAGCTGGGACTTTTTTTGCGTCTCAATGCATGCCGGTGCCCAACTGAGCCATGTTCAATTCTTTAAACTAGGCCTTTCCCATCAGAATTGTGATTATTTTTTGAAATTTGCGTTTGCACTCTAGAACTGAGATCTTGTTTTTAAGCATGCTCCATCCCACCAGAAATTAGCGCATGTCTTGAAGCTCCATCTCCATAGTCAATGAGCTTAGTTTTCTGATAGGGGCGAAATTCTTTCTCGGTTTCATCGATGGTTATATTTTCTGAAGTTTCAGTGGTGCTCTGCTAGAAGCCTTGTTAAATCTTCGACTAGGAATGTTTTGCATCCTCTAGCGACGTCCCCTTCTTATGGCCGGTTTCGTCTTCTGACTGCCCACGGGTTTTGTACAAATTTCTCGCACCCCCAAGCCTTTTTTTCTAGGATCTGCTTCCGCTGTGTTTAAGGAAGGGTCTACGGAGACTTTTTAGACCATTATGATCTTTATCTTGCTCAACACTTCTAGTTTCTTTGCGTTCCATGTCATTGTTGTAGGACTTATTACATTCCTCCAGATCTGCGTAATTTTCACAGGTTCGACCAGCATTTTTGATACCTTTTATGACAGAAGACACTTTCTCCCAGCCTGCATCAGTTGGGATATCGGAAAAATATTAATTTTCAACTCCATTACTGACCTGATCCAATTTATTGTTCTCTTTTGGTTGTCGACGTTACGGAGAGCGTTTAATTTGTCCCCGGCATTCTCTGCGGGAGTGGAGCTTCTCACCTAGCGGGGTCCTATATTTCTTTCTACTGGTACTCTAATGTATTCTTGTTGACTTGGGCGGGTTTCTATTTGTTTGGACTTCTTCACAGTTTTCATCCCACATCGCACACTTGGACCGTTGCTTGCGGCGGTGGATGCCAGAAGCGTCTTGTATCTGACATATTAAAATCAGTAGAGATATCACAACACATATTTTTGTCATCTTCACCGAACATGACTTCAGTCATAGTCTCCGAATAAACTCTCTAGGCTCCCCGCCTCGTTACGCTTGAGAGCACAACATTCGTAAGTGTGATACGAGAAAATTCATAGGTCAAGCATTAGTAATTTTTACAGTGAATTAAGTGAAGGTGTACTAAATAAAATATACATTCTTATAGCGAGAACTGCCAGCTTTTAGAAATATTCATCCATGGAACAACGCTCAATTTGGTGCGATAGATGTGTAGAATTCCCGCTTTCGTAGCTAGCGGTGAGTTGATGCACTGTTGTAAATAGTTTTTTGCAGCAAACAAGTTGTATCGACGTGATTGCTGAATCGCAATATGAAAATTAACGGTAATGCGAAGAAGCTTTAAACTTAATTGATTGAAGCTTGGTTATTATATTATCAGAAGATATTTAAATAGACTTATTAAAGGATATTTAGATGAACGAAAGTTTTTATGAAGTGAAAGTTGGTATTGACAAAATTGGTTTGGAATGAAATCTAATGATAAAAATACATGCATACTAGCATTAACTCTGGTCAGCCATGGTTAAATTATCTAGTTTACTTGCTATGTTTATTTTTTGGTAAAATTATCTTTATTAGTGATCATTTGTATTTTATAAAGAATAATTGTTAGTTGTAGTCTAATAAAAGTTACTATATTAAGAAAAGTGGATATACTTCGTTGCACAGGGGGCAGAAGGCAAGTTCAAGGAGATCGGGGATCTGGCGACAATCCACGATCGTGAGGACCAAATCCTCTTAGACAGGATCCGATATACCGACTACGCCTACATCCAGTGGAAGGTTAACTTGCTGGTCATCATGAAGGAAGAATTTCTGCGCACGGACAGCTGCGACTTTTCGCTTGGTACGCACTTTAGGTTTCGCTTAGCTCTCACCTGACGGTATTATAATTGAATGGTCGGGCAAACCTTCAACTTTGTTAAGCATACATGTATCTATTCAAATGCTCTACAAACGTGGCAATTTGAAGTTCAGGTAATTGATCATGTCGTGTTATTATACGATACTTGCGTGTTTTACTTGATACAAGGAGAAATCCATCGTAACTTTATTTCAGGAATTCTGCTTACAATTATTAAAAATATCAAATCCAGTATTCATGAAATTTTGAACGTGGGAACAAATTTTATGTTGGTGAATGACTTTCTTCTTATCTATTGAGCGCAGGTCGGGAAGAATTCTACTCGGAACACGTGGCCATGGCCATGCCTAAAGGCAGTCCTTATGTCTGGAAATTCGACGAAGAGTAAGTCTTTAATTCGACTCCAACCGTTAGGCTTCCTCCCATTCTACGGATGTTGTCATGGTGTTTATACTGACTGACTGAGTTCACACTCGGTCGATTTTTATCTAAGCTATTATCTGATCGATTTCGTCTCAATCATTATTATTGCTCAACTGATTCCTGGTATCCCACGAGATCATTAGTAAATCCCCATTTAATAACAAGATTTAATCTGATGGCCTGCAGTTACTGTATTCTTCACAGCACTTCACGTGAAATCTTCAAACACATCTTTAAAATTTTAGGAATTCATATAGTTTGTGTTAATTTTCAAAGTATTTTAAATATTTGCATCGCATGACCTTAAAATTCCAGTGCAAATCATGGATTTTATGTGTGAGATATAACTTTTTCATTCAGGAGCGACGTCTAATGGAATAGAATTATAACTAAACTACTTTAAACTTTAAACTACTTTACATGAACAAAATGCGTGTAAAAATACTAATAATTTCCTTCTACTTTATGGTATGTAATTCCATTATCACTTGAGCATAATCAAGAGAATTCTACGACTTTATAACTCCAGCAGCCAATCACTGAATACTTTTTAAGCTCAACTGATCAATCATGTACAAAAAGTAAGCTGCTACGTGTACTTAGGCCGCTATGTGTATTTGGCCGCTGCGTGTACTTAGACCGCTATGCGCACTTTGGCCACTACGTGCCCTTAGTATTGTACAGTATATTATCTTCGGCGTAAGAATAGGCCTGGATGGGCCTGTCGCCGATTTTTGTACTTTTCTCGACTAGTTCACAGATCTTTTCTTGACTAGTTCGCAGACTGGCTTTTTGATCAAATCTTTTCAACGGACGGTAGGTTTGACTTTCTAGACTTTCAATTGTTCCGTAGGGTACTAGGCATTTCAAGACTAAACATATGCTCCTGTATGGCCTTGTCTAGTCTGTTCTTGAACGCATTCATACTCGGAACTACACACTATACTTAGGCCGCTATGTGGATATAAAGGCGCTACGTGTACTTAGGCCGCCACGTGTACTTAAGCTAGTTTTAATAGTACTGTCCCTGACCTCATGCCATGCTCAGGATCAAGCTGATGCTCAAGGGAGGGCTGGTGCAGAAGTGGATGCAGGATCACTGGCCCAAGAAGGACCGCTGCTCTGCCTCGGCGTACGGTGATGGCGACGGCATGCGTACCGTGTCGCTCGCCGACATGCAGGGATCCTTCGTTCTCCTCGGCCTCGGTATGCACAGCTGGACGCGTTCATTTGTTGCTGAGTTTACAGAAATTAAACGGCTTATGTTGAAAGACTATATTATTATTACGCACTCGTATGAAATATTTTACAAAATACTCCCCGAATAACCTAATGTGTTGTAATGTAATTTCTTGTAATATGAAAATTCCGCGCTCACCTGTTTCTGCAATTCGACAGCTAATATTGAACTACTTTCGTAATTTAATGTACTCGTATGGAAATATTGGTCTGATAACTTAATTTTCCCCGTTATATATATTGTGTCTAGTGTGTTATAATAGTTATATAGTTACATTATATAGTATGTGTTATAATGGAAGAAAATCCCTGCTTACTCGTAGCCCTGTTTCCTCAAGGTCATAGGTTTGTGTGGAACAACTCTCGTATTTCCGGTTACTCGTAGGAATATTTCCCCTATACTTCTCAGATAACTTCATGTTTTGAATGCACCAGGATGTTATGTAACGGACATACTACTATTCGTTAATAACTTGCATCGCATTCCTCACCAGGCTTCCTGCTAGCGCTCGTCTTCATCATCGCAGAGTTTGTGTGGCGCTGCGCTAAGCCTAACTTGTCAGGTACTTCCTCTAGCACCGACACGATGGTCAAGCCCATCGCTAATTGATCTCTTCTGCCATGCAATTCACATAGCAATATATATATTTATATCGATTATGTTTCAAAGTTTTGGAATTTTTCGGCTTTTCCATGCACGTGCGACTGCATGATCAGCTTTAATAGTCTTATATAAGCTTTTAAGTGGTAAGATATCAATACCGATTTTCCTCAATGTAATTTATAAAATATTTTCATTGTGAAACGACTTTAAAAATTTCCTATTGAATGTCCCATGCAAGTTAAACAATATCGATGCGCAACAATTAACCTGCACCTGGATTAGGCTTCTGAAGCTTTTGTGGACTGTGTTTTCCGTCTTAAAATTAAAACACGAATTATTTTTTCATTACAAAAATTTCGAGGTCGATTGGTAAACATGAGCTCCTGGTCTCCTGAAATTTCCTACCGTTCTGCATGAATTCCTACTAATAGCTCTTGTCAGTCTAAAGCTTTTTGCGTCCATATATGCGTCACTATTGCTGACAATTTACTTGATTCCAAACATCAGTGAGTTCATTAACTCAGTTGATTGTATCTCACACAGTATGCATAATATTTTTCGGACACATTTGCGCATTCAATTGCGAAATTAATTTGTCCGAAGTACTACTTTCTATCAAACTAAATATTTTCAGGTTTTGGAGTACTCACAGAAAGCTCCAATATTGAAAGTTCGAATGATACTGTGACCACTTAATCAAATAGTTATAGCAATACACAGATTGCATCATATATGACCTTTATTATAACTGCTCAACTGTTTGAGATATATATTCATAGATACATATATATTTGGGTAAACAGGATATCACGAAAGTCCTAACCCAATAGTTGTCAAAGCCTCGATTGCCCAGCTACGTTACATGATCGCTATTTACTGCTTCACTGGACAATATTATGAATAATGCGATCGATTTTTCCATAATATCGACAATATTTTATTTGCATAATAAATCATGCATATTGATTATATAATATGACAGTTTTCAAACATGACAGTTCAAAAATAGTTTCTTTCCTTTGTGACATGTCTTGTGTAATATGCCATCACGCCATGTACTTCTAGTGTACAGCAATGCGCGTGAACTGATCGAGTTTGTCAATACGGTGAGGATGATAACCATCACGATGCTATGTAGTTCAATCGTACAGCAGCGCGCGTGAACTGATCGAGTTTGTCAATACATGGAGGATGATAACCATCACGATGCTATGTAGTTCAATCGTACAGCAGTGCGCGTGAACTGATCGAGTTTGTCAATACGGTGAGATATCGAAGCTTGTCCACGGCACCACAGGGGGCGCGCTGTATGGTAAAGAATTATTCAAAGCTTGGAAGAGAGCACGGCATGGATCCTGGGGCACATTGAATAATTCCTCCCATTGCGTTTAAGTTCATATGAACTGCGCGGAGAAATCACCGAACGTAGAGTGTGCATGATTTAAAGAATATTGACAACTTTTGAAGCGCATTTTTTATGCACCGGCAAAATTCGCAGACTTTGATGAGGCAAGATTAAGTCTAAGTCGTTGAAGCTTGCACGTGAATTACGTGCCACCGAGGTTTTGCAATTATTGATAGTATACTAATATTTGTCTTGGGATGAGCTGTTAAAATTTTATTTCGATAACTAAAACATATTAACCTTGCGTTTATTCGTTAATATTCAATCGATTTCAAGATCGAACAAATCCCGACGCGTCCACGAATCTAGTAAGGTGCAGTTTACACTTCAACGCATTCAAGCCACGCAGCTGGTGTGGTTCAGTAGCTTGTTTACTTGCGAGTCTGACATATTTATTACAGTGTGTACTCTACCACCACGACTAACAAGGAACTCTCAGATCTGAGTGAAGAAGCTTCATTCAACAATGAAGTAAAGGGCTTCACTCAGCTCTGAGTGTGCCTCCATCAGCACTGAATGACAGTATTTCAATCAGCACTTAATCAGAGAGTTTTAATCAGCACTGAATGAAATTTAGTTAATCGCCATTGCATGAAGAAGCTCTAGTCAAAATTTCCCACAAAATAAAAAAAAACTGAATGAAAGAGCTTTGCATAGCGGTATAGCTTCACAAAGCTCTGTATTTTAGAGGTTCACTCAGTACTCAACGAAAGAGCTCTCAAAAAATCAATGAGGGTTCTTTTTATTTTTTAGAATATTCACATTTGGATTGTTCTTGCAGTGTGTATTTTAAAATGTTTTTTTTTTGTATTTCAATATATGCACATTAGTGTTTTAACTGCATTAGATATGTGTGTGGAATTGCAATTTGTTTTCTTGGAAATGAGATTTGCGTAATTGACATGTAAACTATCACAATTAACAGCTTGATAACACCTGAGATTTATGTTACAAAGAAAATGCAGCCATTACTTTAATGTCGACGCCTGAGCAGGTAAAGGTGGCAGTATCAACAGTACCGTTACAACCAACAGAACTAACAGCAATGTCAACAAAAACTTCAGCATCAATAATGATGACAACAGGTACGACGGAAATGTTAAGAGAAACAACTGGTATAATATAGATAATGGCCTGAACCACGGCGATCAACAAGGGCGATCTTCGATAAGTTATGTACCGCCACAACATCTGATGCGCTACTACGATCACCGCAGTTAGGCATCTAATGTTGGAATAACGTTTATTTAACGTTTTTTGACTTTTTTTTCTGCGTAGTGAAAACGTAATTAACATTGCTCAACCGTCAATTACCAGATGGGTTGGTAGCAATTGGTGCGGTCGTCGTGTTCAACGTCTCTGTAACCAGATGCAGGACAGTTTGAAGCGAATCACAGATTAATTATTAATGAAAATTGCACTTTCCGGTATAGATACTCGACAGATGGATCACCACAAGAAATGTCCTTGCTGGAGCCGAACGTGCCTAATTAGAAGCCGTCTATTAATAATAACTAAAGTTGCCCATAAACAATTCCTGGACTTGAGAGTAGTGAATAATTTATGCTCAGCTCAAAGACTTTTCAACGACGTTTTGTTTTAATTTTTTTATCATTGAATTTCAGTAATGCATAGTGCTTCGATACTTTAGTTTAGTTTAGATACGAATATTCTTCATTTGCTATCATCTGCGGTCAAAGTAATGGCAATAATTATACTATAGATCATAGATTTTTATGATCTTCTTTCATGAAAAAATTTTTATTTACATATTTATACCTCACAACACTTGCTCATGTACTGGAATCTCATGGAAAGCGTACCTATAAACTTTCCGCTTATATACGTGTTTTAACGCACTCAAATAAGTAACCCGATGATAATCGTAGAATGTTTAAATATCCACTATCACTTTGCTACTTTAAATTTAAGTAGTTGCTGTGTTGGCTAAGGTTTTATTATCAGTTTTGGATTTCGTTTTTCAAACTTGCCTTGATAACATTACTCAAAAAGTAACATCACTATTCAGTTTCTATGTAATAAGTCTTCGTAGTTTCTCTTGTTGACACTGTTGTATTCGTAGATTGAGTGTATAGCTGTTTTATTCATAATTTTGTCCACCATAATAAGAGTAATTAGACGTTAGTCCCGCTTTGAAAGTACAGTAGCTAAGAATGTTGTCATTTGGTTGTTATGTCAATACGGTGAGGATGACAACGCGACAACAAGAGTATGATGCATCCTTATACAGGGTGTTTCAGAATTAAGTAACCCTTTTAATTTGTTAATAAATAAAAAACTAAGAACGATCTTTTAAATAAAACAAGTTTCAACTTCATAACGTTCTTAGTTTTTTATTTATTAACAAATTAAAAGGGTTACTTAATTCTGAAACATCCTGTATTTATATCAGACTGAAGTGAGAGTTCCTGTTCACTGAGAAGCCATAAGGTCCAATAAATTGTTCTGAAAACGGCTTTAAAATTAGCTGCAAATTATATAGGCTGTACTAATTGTTAATGTTAAGGAGAAAAGTTTGCTCAACAATATTGTGCACTTATTTTGACCATACCAACAGCACATAACAACACTTTACTCTATATACATTTGCCAGAAGTGAACCACATTCAATTAAATGAAACTCATTTATAATTCTATCTGCAAATATTTCCACGTTCTGATAGATGACTGATACAGGAATCCCACTTGATATTGACTGTTGAATAATAAATGAAGTGTCATGGCTGCAACAGTTTTTTTTTTCATTCGGTATCACTGAGAAAACATTGATGTATAGCGAAAATACCCTGACTCTTGCTCATAACTCTTGCTAACAATGTAAATATTTAATAGATGTGATCACATATGAAATAAATTGATTTGCTTCATGTACAGGGTGCGGCGCGGGAACTTACTTATTTGAATTGCGCGCCACGTGGCGGCCATTAGTCCTAGGAAGGTGGCGCCATGCGCAATATACTCGTCTGACAAAATGTATTGAACAGCATGGAGGTCACCTACAAGATGTAATATTCAAGAATTAAACTTGTAAGTAAACCCAACGAAACTTTAAATGTAGCTCTTTGTAAAAAAGAAAGAATTAAAACGCTATCTTTAATACTTTTTACTTTGTGATTTTTTTAAAAGAGTAAGTTCCCACGCCGCACCCTGTATTATTCAAACGAACTTTCCTTTCAATTTTTATACTATAAATTTGGTTTTAGGTTATTAGGACAACTCACGAAGGTACAGAACTTAAAAATATAACTCAGTACTCATTGCAGTGAGTGACGGAGAGCGCATTTTCTCGTCGACGAAAATGTGAAGTCACGGACGGACAGACAGACGGACAGACAGACGGACGGACGGACAGACGGACATGGCGAGCACAATAGTGAATTTTTTCATAAATGAGAAAATGCGCTAAAAACTTCTAGTTTACACGTTTCTACGCACAACTCTCAAATAGTAATAAAATTTATATGTACAATAATGCAACATGTGTGCTCGGAAAATTGTTCTCACGATGCACTCATGTTTTCATATATACTCGTATATGGACGTGAAATTTTCAATGTTAACGGGCCATTTTTGTGCGTCATCAGCGGCCCAATCATGCATTTAATTCTTCAGTAACGGCAGCTCTACTGTTTACTGTTCGCCTATCATGAAGGCTAACGCATCTATTCAAGGCCAGTTGATGCACTCGTATACTCAATAGTACTATCTAAAGATACATAAATAATAACTACACGTCTAACTTTACTATAAAGCTTACGCTCGGAGTACATTTAAGAGAGCTACAAAGGTGTACTTGTGATAGTACTTGTTGAGGCAGAATTCGTTGAGAAGTATATCTGCTGTTTCTGTAAATTCAATAGATGTCTAGTTTAGTGGTTTGAATTGTGAAGGTTTAGTGGAAGAATTGTGATTTAAATAATATGTAATTTTGTCACGTACACTCTAAACGAGAGTTCAAATTGAAGTGCAATAAATTCATTTATATTTTCATAGATACTTTTCGTAGAAAAATTGGCTTCATCGTACTAGATTTCGATGCTCAAATGCTTTGAAAAGATCTCAGGGTAAATTTATTCGTTTTGAAGAGAAATATAAACAAACTTAACTCTAAATTCAATATTATTAACACTTGGACATAAATACCTGTAGGTAAGACACGCTATATAATCAAGACGTAGGTTAAGAGAAATATCGTTAGTTATATCATTGTTCAAATCAATATCTATCGTGCATCCTAATAATCTCCAAATACAAATATTATTGCAAGTCTCTTTCCTTTCCCATTTTTGACACGTACTCAGGTGCAGCATTTTACCCGTACACTCCTCAGAATCATGAATGGGTGAATGGGTAATGTTGTCAGAATTGTGACACGTTTCTGCGCGTAGCACAGATAAGCCATTTTTGCCGGGCCAAATTCGACGGCCCATACAATGGCAAGAATTGCATCGCTACTTTGACGAATCTCCCATACTTCCTTGAGCGCACAAATGGTGCCCCGTAAGACAATTAAGACGTCATTTTTATTTATACTTTGTCTTTACTGTCGGGAAAATTTTCTTTCTATAACTAATTTTACACAGAGTGCTTCTTACTTCAGAGTGAGCAATACTGCAGCATAGACAATTTCGGTGGTGGTGACGTGTTGAAGGTGAAGAAGAAGGCACGTCTTGAGCGCTTAACACTTACCCTCATCAGAAATTATTTAGTTTAATAGACAATTTTAAATTAGACAAAATAGATGCGACTGTCAGCGGAAGTATTAATTAATGATAATAACAGAAATGAGAAACATTGCGCTTTAAAATGTTTTATTTATATGCACATTTAAGGCCTAAGTGAATTTAAATGCACCTAACAAAATATAAGTACACTTAATTTTGCCAGATGCCTTCAGAAAACAACTGTGCTCGTGACTGGTGGTGTTGTTCTAAGGGCATTCATGGTTGACATTCAGATTATCATTCAAAGGGTATCAGAACACCGGCGCAACTGTGGACAAATGCGTGTAAGAAAGGCTTTTGATCCTTCATCATATAAAGGTGAAAATATGTGAATCCCTTCAATAATTCGTTATTATTTAACAGCTATATTCGAAATTATTTAACAACAATTACTCTATCATCGTCCTGCTGAGCTTTGAAAATTGACCAGAGAGAATCATAAATGCGATACGAGATCCGTTAGTTAGACACAAGACTGTCAGTTTCACGGAAGAGAGTATTTAGAAAAATAAGAGACAGAAAATTTGTGAATGCTGTTCAGATATTTCAGTAGCAGAGGCTGTGAGCTTGACCTTTGCATTGGGATTTGGATCTTCTCAATTATTCTCGCCGTGATTGGTGAGAAACATTATATATTCTGTGTTCTGATTGGTCCAAATGAGAAGGTCGGTAATTCAATATGTACTAACGGATCAGAGATTGTTAAATATGTAACGACCAATAAACATATTATCCACATTTTTAAATAACAGCGACAGAAAATCTTTCTCAAACCTTTGAAATTTGCCACTTTTAAATTGAAATTTCTGAAAAATTAAAAGATTGGATTTGTGATCGTATAGTTGGAACGTTCAAACGCTAAGAGAATGTTTCAATAACTAATTAATAACATTAATGTTTCTTGCCGGTCAACACACGATCCAATTAACACCACTCGTTTAATTAGAAATGTGTGCGTCATTTGGGATAGAAAAAAGTAATTATCGGGTGTTAAAATTTTAGTGAAGGTCGCATGTGGCAACGTGGCTATATCAAAACGTTTCATTTTTGGCAGAAATAACCTAAATTCGCTGAACGAATAAAAAACATTAAAAGTACAAAGCATGCAATATTTACATAAAAATTCAGCAGGGACATTATTGTGAGATATAAATGAAAATTTCACACTACATAGATTGTTTAAAACACGTACGGTAATCCTGATTAAACTTATAGAACAATATGTCGATGACATGCAGCATTGAGCCGGTGGCATTTCCTGACATCGCTCCAGTGGATTTTTAACGCAGAATTCAAGCTTGGAGCGAAGAAATGTCATTGGTAAAGGTTGGGATTTTCATCACACCTCCTGGCATTAGACGATTTAGTTCAGCCTTGTCACCCCACACCCCACACGCAGACACCTCATCACCCCACACCCCACACGCAGACACCTCATCACCCCACACCCCACACGCAGACACCTCATCACCCCACACCCCACACACAGACACCTCATCACCCACACCCCACACGCAGACGCTGAAACTTAAGTTTAAAGACGAGGAATTAAAGTTAAAGAGAAACGAATTAAAACTCTAGTTAAGTGCTAGGGAATGATAATTCGAACGAAATGAAGAGGAATGAGAACTTTAGTTTTAAGACAATAAATTTTACCTTGATATAAACAATCAGGAAATAGAGCTTGGGTTCAATTATGATGAATGAGAGAGAACTGATTAGTTCGCCGGTTCACGGTCAATGATGTGTATTGCGAGTAATCTCAACGAAGAGCGCTACGGTTAACTTAAAAAATGTTTCATTACGTAATGTAATTTTCCGGCAGCGCACACATTGAAAACGTATTGTGACTTATGTTCTTTAGATGAACAAATCGATGTTTCATAAGGTCTGAGCAAAAATGTAGAGAATTTTTTGTTAAAAATACTTTAAAAAATAATTTTACACACCGAATCCGTAGAGCAAAATCCTTTTACTTTTAAGATGTAATTGTAACCAAATATTATCACTACTCGGGCTGAAAATAAAGAAGATATTCAAGTTTGAACGATATTAATCGGTAAAGGTAAAAATTAACGGATGAGAAGCCTACGAATGGCCAATTTTTGAAAAGCGACCCCGCCACAGGTATGGCTCTGATATTTTATGATCTTTTAGCCATCGGGGGCACAAGGGGGCGTTCATCCCTGCCAAAAAACTGCCTTTGTTGTGATTGGTTGATTTTGCGACCTTCAGCTACCGTCCCACCAATAGGAGCGCGGCAATAGTGCGGAGTCTCGAACAATTCAGTCACGCATCAGTTTTTGTCGGAGAAGCACGCGTGTGTGCCGAGGTGAGTTCCTTTTTCTCGTGTTTCTTAAATCTAACCATAAATTTATGCAATTAAAATGCTCTAATTTTTAATTGACTGCGAATAATATATTAAGATAAAACAGTGAATGATAGTGTAGTTGAGGGATATGCAGTCCATTGCTAAAGTCTACGGATATTGGGCGCAACATTTAATTATCAAGCTTGAATATGATTCATGAAATAGACTTCAGTAAGCCGATGAAAAAATGTTCAATCGTTCAGGAAAATTACGATTCATGCAAAATATTTCGAATCTAGATCCATTATTGTAATCGAGAATAAAAATTACTGCAACTGTTTTTCTACTTAGGAAGAAACGGACTTCATTGCTTATAGGAAGTGATTCAAAATACTATTAATTCATTTTCTGACAATCTCACGCTTATAAAGTTCTTGAAGGGAATTAATTCCTTCTATCAGTAAAGAAAAAAATTACGTACAGCCTACAAAAAATATCACGACAATTTGTAATATTCAGCCTACAACTGCATTTTGGAAACCAAAGACATAATTTTATGAAAAATTTTAAGTTAACTCTAGCGGTGTGAAATAAGATGTATAAAACATGCTTTGCGATGCAGGCTTCGACTGAGGGACGATGACGGGACGGCAGCTCGTAGCAGCGCTGACGATGCTGGCGCTCGCGGCGCCCGCCAGCGCCCAAACTAAAGTCAACATCAGTGAGTACCGATGATAATTAATCATTATTTGCATCGTAAATTTAATTTCCCCACATAATTTGTATACGATAGTAACAAAAATACCAGTAATATTTATTTTTTGGATGAAATTTCACGACTAAGCGACCTGACTTAACATGAACGCAGGTTGCTAATGACTTGTATATATCGTATATCTCTCATTTGCGAAATTCTGTCATTGGATTTGGACACGTTTCTTATGAATAAGAGTCGTATCATTATGAGTCGTAATTATAATATGAAAAGATCGAGTTTCAGCATAGAAATTTAAATAAGGTTTTTTAGAATTAAACATTAGCGTGAGATATAAATGGAGATTTTAGGATTATGATAGAACTCCTTTATAGTTTCTTATAACTTCCGGGAAGCACGTTGCTGGAATGGATATTAGACATTTCAATGTGAACTACCGGGCAGGCATTGATTGCATATTGCATCGCTGCTTCTACGCTTTTGGTTAAATCGAAAACCAGAAAATTCTGGATAGATATAACTGGATCCTGTGGAAATACAGTTATATCCATATAACTTTATAGGCTTACTCCTGAAATTATTTTGAAATTCTTTGTTATTTTTTTGAGCCGCCCTTGTCAAATATCTTTCAAAAATTACTTGTCCTAGATTGGATACAAAGTCCTCTCCCTAGATCGCTGAAACAATCTTTGCCCTAGATCACGGGAAGTCTTCGCCCTGGATCATTAAAACTGACTTCGCCCTAGATCGCTGAAACAGTCCTCGCACTAGATCACTAAAAGTGGCCGCCCTAGGTCACTGAAACAGTCCTCGCCTTAGATCGCTAAAATAGACTTCGCCCTAAATCGCTGTAACAGTCTTTGACCTAGATCACTAATTCAGACTTCGCCCCTAGATCGCTGAAACAGTCTTCGACCTAGATCAGTTTTACAGTCCTCGCTCTAGATCACGGGAACACACGTCGCCCTAGATCTGTTCAACTGTCAATTATTCAGAATATTTTAGCTTGTCCTACTGATATGTTGATTTCAGGTGCTGACAAATCATGCATCATAATTATAGTGCATAATGGAATCTTTTATTCGAGTCACCGATTAAACAATTCAGTTACTTAGGCATTACTTCCTACCTTGCCTTTCTCCTTTGAAATTCAAGTCCTACGTGTAGAGCTATTGCCGATGATAGCGTTAGTACTACATGTTGCTACATTGCGACGTAGCAACGTATTGATCGAGCAATAGCTGTACGTGCGAATATAACTTTCACTCAAACTTGAGTTGCCTTCACTCAAAGGAACTTGATTTTCCTTCACTCAAAGGAACTTGATTTTCTTTCACTCAAAGGAACTTGATTTGCCTTCTGTAGCATACAAAGTTTCCTGTATTCTTAATAACTAGCCGCTAATAAGAAGCACGTTTTAGAAGTCGTTTTTCGTAAGCCTTCGTTCTTGTTTCATGTTCATTATGTTGGTTCCGTGTTGCCGTGTTCTTCCCACCTTTCACGCGCGTAACTTCACACATTACACCTTCACTCAAAGGAACTTGATTTTCCGTGACTCAAAGGAACTTGATTTTCCTTCACTCAAAGGAACTTGATTTGCCTTCACTCAAAGCTACTTGATTTGCCTTCGCACAAAGGTACATGATTTGCCCTCACTCATCGGTACCTAATTTGCCCAAGCACATAGGTGCCTGAGTTTTCATAACCAAAGAGGCCAAAAAATCATTTGCCCAAATAATTAAAAAAGAATGCAGGTGGCCCTTATTTGAGTTTTTCCACATAAAGTCCTTCTCACAAGGCCTGATTTGCCCACTCATAATTACCCGAGCCTCATTTCCGTCACTCATAAAGACACGAGAGCGCCAGGTGATCAAGAATGGTAACAGTATCATCTCATTATTAATGGTAGGACGAAAAAAAAGAATACCTCTATTCATTTCCGTGTTATTACTTTACATGGTTTCTACATGTTAACCTTATGTGGCCTTTACAACGTGTCCGAGGACCAGCATTGAGCCGCGGGGCTGCGTTGCTTATTGAAGAAGATCGATCCGCTGCCGCGTCTGTAGGTCCTTGCAACGGCCAAGCTGTGCGTCCCAAATAAAATGAGGGAATATTCATAATTTTGGTAATGAGGGCAGTCTAAACTAAATTGATAACTAAAATTTTCGAATAATAAACAATTTCTGAAAGAATTATTTCTGCTTCATTGTCGTATTGAAAAAGATGGAGCATTTTCATCCCTGACTGCATCACATTATTCACACAGGGTAAAGGAATCATGGAATAAAATTGGATTGACTCAATTTTCGATATCAGAATTTAATAGCGAGTCTCGGATTTGAATGTTAACGTGACTCTAAAATATAGGCTATAAATTAATTGGGCGTAATTTAACGATAAGTAAGAAGTCGGAAACATATTAAAATTTATTCAAGGTCAGAGCCTAATTTTATAGTACCATGACAGTCCATTAGAAGAAATTTTTTTAAGAGCAAAAAATTTAAAAGGTATTATAGTAAGATTTATAACTAGTAAGATACCAAGACTATTAGTATGGTAGCAAGATTTTTATTATAAATATTGCACTAATATACATGTATAATACTTGAATATACACAGTGTAGAAAATTATTTATACTTTACGAGCTTCAATAATGAGTTTTGCTTAATAATTTAATGTTTTATTATTTATAACTATTATTACTAGATAGCATTCGTTCGTTGGTAATTATAAGACACTGTAATGCATATCATCCATGTATTATTCACTGACCACACAGCGCCATCGATCTTCTCTTGCAGTCACACAGAAACAGCGCTGCCTAGACCCTTGACTCTGTATCGCGATGCAGACCCTTACTCTGTATTGTGTCGAAGACCCTAAGTTCTGTATTGATACGCAGAACCTTGGCTCTGTATTGTGACGCAGACCTACACATCTGTATCACGAAGCAGAACCTTGGCTCTGTATTGTGACGCAGACCTACACATCTGTATCACGAAGCAGACCCTTGGCTCTGTATTGTGACGCAGACCTACACATCTGTATCACGAAGCAGACCCTTGGCTCTGTTTAAAATCATAGATCCTTTGGATTTTTTGAAGAACACAAGCTTGACCTATACGCAGCTGCCAGCAAAATAGAAGCGTACATATAATATGGTAGAATTCTGTGACATTAAAGAAATGGTCGTAATCTAACTGCATAAAAATTTCAATCGAGAGTTCCAGCGAACAAAAATCTTTTGATTTTCATGTAATTGGCCGTCAAACAGTGAAATTTCCAATAATTCGTGAATAAAAAATAGATAAAAAATTCAGAGCCCTATAGAGTCACGAGCTATAATAATGCGAGCCGATAAAAAGTGCGAAATTTATCGTAAATATCTAAGCTAAATACTCATACAATTTACAGAGCTGTTGAAGCAGTGCTGCGGGCTGTTATATTCACGCAATCACAACAAAAATGTCGAGTGCGATTGGGCGAAAAGCCGCGGCTCCTTATGAACTGTTTTTATTTTGCATCGATCAAGTGAGGTCGACTATTGCATTATAAACGCAGAGCCTGGACACTTTGCATATTACACTTAGTTTCGTGACGTTCAACACATGAATAACTTACATGAAAGTGTACTATTAGAGGACTTTTTCGTACACTTCTTCGTGCAGAAAAAGTAAGGTGATTGATAAATAAGAATAAATCAAAATACCTGGTTGTTTGGGATCATTCGAGAATCAAGTTTTTTTTCTATTGATGGTCTTGGATCAATGGACGGGCCACGCACCATAAGTCATCCATTGCAAAAAGATTTCTTGCTGAGGTTTTCATAATTATAAGTCATAACAGGATTAAATTTTCTGCTCGTTTTAAAGGACTCAGGATATACTGACTCTTTCGAATGTTTTCAATAGTAAATGACATTAACGAATGTATTTTTCGCTGTACAAATTTCAATCACCTAATGGATGCTTGCGTTATACGTGCAGTGTCACTTTATGAATCCACGAACACGGCTGCAGAGTCCGGCATCATGGCGGCACTGAAATATTTTGCTGCTAACCCAACTGAGGGCATCACTGTTGAGCATCACTACTACAAGCCAATCGTAGAGGGTAAGTTACCAATTGCTAACCCAACTGAGGGTATCATCATATATCATCATTATTGCAATCGTAGAAGATAAGCCTCCAATGATAATCATGTGTAGTAGGTACCCCTTGTCATCTGATGTTGAGTGATTACAATAATCAACAAACAAGTCCTAAACAATTATTGTGTGCAGACAAGATATAACGTGCTGTTCAAAATATCTTATTTAAGATTTTTAAAAAACAGACCGTTTTGTCAATGGCCGCAAAAATTTTTATCTACCTTTGGACTAACTGGAATACAAACTAGAAAAGTGTTAAATGTATTCTTTTGTCTTCAATCGAGCTTGTAAAGTGCAACGTGTACATTTTCAAATAGGCTATGTTGTGTCATGACATTGTAACGGGAACAAAAGCAATGCGTCATCCCAATGTTGGTCGTGTGGAGGAATTGGCCGAGCCGAGATGACGGAAGAGCTACAGTTGAAACCTGCATAGGGTCGAATTTTTTTCTCTAAATTTTGACATTACAATTTTTAAAGTAAGACTGTTCAAAAAATAAGCAGAGTCTGTCATCAGTATTTATGCATATGACGAATAGTATATATTTATGAATGTAATTTGACGTTCTTCAATGTTATAAATATAGGAGACAACATCGAGTCGACGGTTAACGCAACGTGTGACGTGTTCGACGCGGCGGTGGACGCCTCGGCCCCACCTCACCTCATCCTGGACGCGACGAGGACGGGCATCATAAGAGACACTGTCAAGACCTTCACTAAAGCCCTCGCCCTGCCCACCTTCAGCGCCTCCTTCGGCCAACAAGGCGACCTCAGGTGTGGCAGTGATCCCAAAACTCATGCAGTGATTAATGTTATAATTATTATTATTTTTATTGTGATTTTTATTACATTTTCCCATACAATACAGGGGTTAGACAAAATAAGAGAAACACCAGAGAAATCCACAAAATATATTTAGTATGGTGAAAGTCCATCTTTTGCGGCAATTACAGCCTCAATTCTCCGAGGTATTGATTCATACAAATTGGGAATTATTTCAAAAGGAATTTTAACCTATTCTTCAGTTAAAATTCCCTCCAGTTCTTTTAAAGACGATGGCGGCGGGAATCTTGCATCTTGCATCTGTAAAATCGACCGCAAATGCTCGATAATATTCTGGTCTTGTGATTGTAGTGGCCAAAGGAGATGCTCAACTTCATTAGAATGTTCCTCTTGACATTTTTTAACAATTCCAGCTGCCTGGATCGGGGCATCGTAAATAATAAATAATAATAATAATAATAAAAATAATAATAATAATAATAATAATAGTAAAATAATAATAATAATAATAATAATAATAATAATAATAATAATAATAATAATAATCTTGAAAGATGGCATTCCCCTCCAGAAACAGTGCTTGAACTATTGGATGAACTTGGTCCTCCAAAATTCATAAATGGTCACGGCTGTTGATTCTTTTCTTGAAGAGAAATCATTGGTCCGTCGGATTCTTAAGAAAAAGCACCCTAGATCATCACAGATCCCCCGCAATGTTTTACGGTTAGGCGGAGGCAGTTTGGATCAAATGACTCTTTTGGTTGTCTCCAAACGTAAACTTAGCCAGAGGTTAGAAATAAGGCAAACGATGATTCGTCATAGAAAGTAAAATTTTTTCCACAGCAAAAGGGACCAATTCTGGAGGTTTTTACACCACCCTAGACGCTTTGAAGCATGTGCATTTCAAACCAGAGGTTTTTCTAATTGCAGCTCTTCCATGGAATGCAGATCTGTGCAGCTCACGGCAGAGTCTTTATGGAAACTGGTTTCTGTAGGTGTCCATTGCGGTTTGCTGTAATTTTAACATCTGTGGTCTTTCGATTGTGACTCACAATTCGATTTAGGGACCGACGGTCTTTCCCAGACAATTTCGACTTTTGGCCAAACCTGTACTTTGCTGCGGAAATTTTTCTTCTCTTTCAAAAACAGTCATTACTTTTGAGACAATACCTTTAGAAACGTCAAGCATTCGGGAAGTTTCTGTCATATTAGCACCTGCCATACAGGAACTAACAATTTGGCCTATTTGAAGGTCAGAGAGGTTTGCCATTTATAGGTTATAGGTTAGGTTATAAACACAAAAATTTACGAAAAATATCTGTTCAACGATAAAATATCAATTAGCTGCAACAATAATTAATAAAAACATGTCACGTTTTCATTGTTTACAACATGTTTATAAGTTTCGATATCAAAATGTCTGGAGTGTCACTTATTTTGTTATTTTGTTCAACCCCTGCATATCATTATTACAAAACCTATTATAAATAATGACACATTGTTGCAATATCTCTAAAGTTCAAATTTATCTTCGCTACATTGAATAGTTTGTCACTTTCAGATGCTTGACGAGATGTCCGTATCGACATTAAGCATAAAATTCATAAGTTTTTGTACCCACTTTGTTTCTTATAATTCCTCTCTTTAAGATTTGTCTTACGATTCTTTAATAAGAAAAAGTATTATAATAAAGCCGTATTGATGGGCAGGGAGTGGCGGGACCTGACGGCGTCCCAGGACCAGTACCTGGTGCAGCTGCTGCCGCCCGCAGACGTGTTGGTGCAGGCGGTCAGAGACATGGTCAACACCCAGAACATCACCAACGCTGCTGTCATATACGACGACACTTTTGGTCTCTGCATTGTTCAATAATACAATATTTTAATGTAGTTAGCAAAAATTTCTATAGTCATAAGTTGCGGATTTGAGATAAAAAAATTGAAAAAATTTAATTTTTGCGTCTCACACATGATGTTGCATGCTTTATACGATTGGTTTATAAATAGAATTTTCACGTTTAAATTAGGAAGAAGATTTCGAAAAATGAGCACGTAGTACTAATGTTGAAAGCACATTACCTGTTGTACCGTGCAGTGATGGACCACAAGTACAAGTCGCTGCTTGAGAACCTCCCTTGTCGCCACATCATCACTCGCGCCGCCGACACCGACGCGGCATTACGGGCCCAACTGACGCGGCTCAAGGTGGGCGGTTCAAGAGAGTGGTTTTGGGGACTTAAGTGTTCCCGGGGACGTTGGGAGGTCCCGAATCGCTCTGATGATGGTGGTCCCTAGAGGTGATCCCGGGGTCAGATGGACAATCACGAGGGCAGCGAATGATACCGGACACAGATGGGCAATGTTGGGTTGCAAGGGAGCGATCCCGATACGTTGTTTGAGCCCGAACAACAAAAATGAAGATGAGGACCCATAGAGGAGAAGCGAGAGATTCCGAGGTCCATGGGCGATATTAGGGGCTCAAAGAGATGGGAGAGCATATGAACGATCTTGAGGGGGAAGAGGTGATCCAACTAGGCTGCGGTGGTGCAGTGGTGAGAGATTCTGTCTCTCGCACCCAGCTCCCGGGTTCGAGTCCCACTGAGGACAAGTTCTTCCGGGACGCTCAGCTCATGGTCAACTCAGCCATTCATGCAACTCTGGTTGATAAATGAGTACCTGGCTTGTCCAGGGTGTTGTGTAATGCAACCAAATGGCTCTGACGGGTCAGCGAGCCAGTGATGGTCGTGGAACTACCAGTGGCACCAAGTGCCCGGAAAAACTGACCTACCACCACCCCCCCCCCTCCCTAGTCGCCACTACCAGGGTGGGCAATTACAAAAACAACATCCAATGAGGCAGATGAGCAATCCGGGGCTAAATGCGGATCCCGATGGGCAATTGATTAATGGATTGGATTATTTTTATTTATTCTAATCGCAAATTTACCAGGAATTTAAAAGTAAAGAAAATAGCCAAAACTTTCACCATTTCTTATAAGAGAAAACGTTTCGGAATCCAGCTCCATCGTCAGTTCAAAACCTAGAACACAGGTACAAACAATTAGTAACCTAAAATTCACATTCAAACAATTCACCTAAACTTGAGGACATTAAAACTAAAATCGAAGATAACAGAAATAAAAATGAGATGACATGTAGAGAAAGTACTATCTATTTACAATTTGTAGAGGATAGGAACTGAATGCAGCATTTAAACTGGGTTTCTGTTTGAAAAAAATAATGATTCTAAAATTCGTAGGTCAGAAACACCGGTTGTGGAGGCTAAAACTCTAAAATCACTATTGCACTGCTCGGCATGAATACGCACGGCTGAATGAGGGGGATGCGCAAGCATGTTCCCGGTTCTATAACTTCTATAACATACTTGCGCATCCCCTCATTCAGCCGTACGTATTCATGCCGAGCAGTGCAACGTCCCGGTGTCCAATAGTGATTTTAGAGTTTTAGCCTCCACAACCGGGTTTCTGACCTACGAATTTTAGAATCATTATATATTTTCAAACAGAAACCCAGTTTAAATGCTGCATTCAGTTCCTATCCTCTACAAATTGTAAATAGATAGTACTTTCTCTACATGTCATCTCATTTTTATTTCTGTTATCTTCGATTTTAGTTCTAATGTCCTCAAGTTTAGGTGAATTGTTTGAATGTGAATTTTAGGTTACTAATTGTTTGTACCTGTGTTCTAGGTTTTGAACTGACGATGGAGCTGGACTCCGAAACGTTTTCTCTTATAAGAAATGGTGAAATTTTTGGCTATTTTCTTTACTTTTAAATTCCTGGTAAATTTGCGACTTAAGCAGCCAAGTGATTTTAATACTTATTCTAATCGTTGTTGGAGGATTGATTCAATCCCAGGTCAAGCGGGTTTACGTTTTCTTGTTTGCCATTTGCGCGTTTGTGCTTTTGAGTCAGAGTTTGAAATAAGATTTTTTCTCTAAGAGTGGGATTTAATTTGCTTGCGTGTAATTGAGGTTGTTTGCGAGAATACTTGATGCAAATTTTTGAGCGTGTGCTTAAGTGCATGTTTGAGTGACTGATCCATCTAGTTATGATATCGCTAGTGAGTATTATAGTTTGAGTGCCTGCATTGTCTGCAGGAGGCGCTGCTGGTTTACTACTTCGTGGTCGGTAGCCAGGACACCATCAGGAAGGTCCTCGAGGCAGCCAACGCAATGCAGCTCTTCGGCAAGAAGTATTCCTGGTACGCCGTCACCAAGGTCCGTTAACCAGTTAACCGTAACTATTGCCTTGGGTTGGAGACCAGGTTTTGGTCTTTAGGATGAATATTTGTGAATCGCTTTAGATAAAAAATTAAAACTAATTAATATCCATTAATAATTCAAACGAATTATTAATGGATATTGGGTCAGATAAGAGTCTGGATGGATAATGTTGGGAAATTGTGATCTTAAGGGAGGTTAGCCTCATACGATTAACTTTTTTCTTGAGAATACTGTTCGAAGTGATCTTTCGCAAAATTTTAACTCAATCTTAATAAGACCAACATCAAAAATAATAATTAAATGAAAATATTATAATAATTAATAGATATCACATTTCTTCTTTCAAATTATTACAGCAACATATTATTGTATATTGTAACAGCCCAATTTGCGTAACTTGGTTGCAGGAAGAGGGCAGCATCGGGTGCGGGTGTGACAACAGCACTGTGGTTGTGATGCAACCAATCATGGATGCTGCCATCATGGCCAGGGTTGAGAAGCTCAAGAAGGATTATGGGTTGACTGCTAAGCCAGCTGTTGATGCAGCCTTTTATTTCGATTTTGCAGTCCGCGGAATTAAGGCAATTGCGTAAGTGAAATTATGCAATGCTTTTGTCTGTACATTTTAATTCTCAATTAAATAATTTTTAAGTAAGAATCGAAAGCAGTTATGAATTGAATCATAAGTTGATTAATAAAAAGAAAACACTTTTCAAGCCGTTAATCCACATGATGTTATAAGAGATTATAGAATGAAAACTTTGACACTATTCGAAAACATAGAGTTGAAGTTTATTTAATTCATAGAATTTCCTCTTCTCCAAGTCCGGAGACTGCCATATGTGTAAAAAATTCCGTGTTTACAATTTGTTTTGTGATGGCTTGGTGGTCCGTAGTCAGATGGTGAAGAACGGGAAGTTTGCTAGCTTCGCCTTTGTGAAGTGTGCCGACTTTGACGAGAGAAAACCGCCCACCAGAGATGATTTCAACCTCAGGGCCGCACTGAAGGCTGTGAGTAATCAATTTATTAATTAATTTATTTTAAAATTTCAATAAAAAATTAATTAATTTTATTTATTCACTGGACAGTTAAAGAATAATCTACTAGAAATTCCAATAATTCAACCGACAATGATCAAGATGAATCGTGCCAAATTGTTCCGATTCCCTTATGAAATTGATGAGTCATCGAGTTGGAAATATATTGTAAAAATATCGCAAATACGTGAAAGTTTGAATGTTCATCATGTACGTCAAATTATGAGTAATTATACAATTTTAAATGAATGAATAATGACAAATGAATGTGCCAATTTTCAATGTTTGTGACATGCCGGGACTGATCGGGCCCAGGCCTTTATGTACGAATATCATTGACGACCATTATTGTATCCGTAGGCAAAGAGTTAACAATTACATTCAAATTTTATGGCAGGTGAAGATTGAAGAAACTTCTGATCCTATCGTTTGGAATGGCAACGGAAAGAGCTACATACCTTACAAGATGTCCATTATCAAGGTGGAGTATTTACTTGATAAGCCGAAGCCTCATTATTCATTAGTGATTGACATAAGATCTTCGTCACAAAGACGAAGCATCTTTTTTATAAGCTTTGGAAGAACACTTTATTGAAGTTCAGATTTGACGTAGTATTCAATAATTTATCGGCTATTAAATTTTGGGTACGGGCGAAAAAACGATTAATTAGACGCGATCCATGAAGAGATTTCCCTTAAAATTTTAACGTATCAAATTAATTTTACTTTTATTCGGGCTCAAATCATTAACTAGATTAAAATTACTGTTATTTTAACCCGCAGGTGGAGATTCTGAAGGGTAAGATAGACAAGGTAGCGGGCGAGACGTCCATGGGCCAGCTCGAGGTCGGTGTCAGGGACGGAGTGAGGTTCGAGCTCAGCAAGAGCCTCGCCTCGCATCAGGTGAAGTTTTGTTCTTACGTGACTATAAGATTAAGGCTTAACAGTTTCGGATTAGAAATTATGGCTAAGAAAGTTTTTCGAAGGAATCGGCACAAAAAATAATCAATAAGAAATTCTTGATTATATCAAAATGGTCTTCGGTTATATCAAAATATCCATATTCATGTTATATAGATTTACAACCGTCACAAATGGATCGGCCAAAACTATCAAAAAAGTGAACTTCAGAGGAATGTTTCCTCAACAAGTATCTCGTCTTTTTTTGAATGAATAACTTTTAATATCTAAGTCATGCATTGGAACATACATGCCAGGCCATCACTGTGTATCGCGTGACGACCGTCGAGCAGCCCCCGTTCATCATGAAGCGTATCAACAGCAACGGAAAAGTTGAATTCTACGGCTACTGCATCGACCTCATCGACGAGATCCGCAAGATTGTCAACTTCGAGTGAGTCGTTCGAGAGTCTTCACTTATTTGTGATCATGTTCATCAAATCAAGCTCAAATATTGTAAAATCGAAGCGAAATAATTGTCGGTTGATGTTCAATAATTCCGTATGCGTGAAACTTAAGCTACTGAATCATTCGTCTTTTAGCCCTATTTGCAATCAAGAGTTGCGTACTGTTGAAATTGTCAATGATTAATAAATAACATGTTGTTCTGTGGGTAACAAGTGACAATGAGTAACTGATTCTGAAATAGTTGTGATACTGAGGGCCAAACAAAGGTAAACAAAGGTAACTTCAATTCGAGTTCTCATTGGTTTCTGCAGATATGAAATTTCAGAGGCTCCTGATGGGTTGTTTGGCACCATGAATGACAAGGAGGAATGGAATGGCATGATCAAGGAGCTTATTGATAAGGTGGGTAAACGCTGCATCGTGGAATAGACTTATAGCGCAGTTTAAGTTGTACGAATAGCATGACATTCATGTCACTTAATATATTTCAGGATGATTGATTATAATAGCAACTTTGTCAAGTAACTTTTTACTTTCGCTTTCAAAGAATTTTGAGAGCGAAAAATATTACATATTCCATACCTTAGAAAAAAATTCCATATCATAAAATATTCTATACCTTGAAAAATATTTTTTTTTTACTCTAATGGAACAAAGACGGTATACATCGAGATTGTGTTTCATGCGAGTTATGTAAAGATTTCCTAATCACTTTGTTAGTAAAACGCACACCTTGCAGCTGAGCTGGGAGAACAATAAAGACCCTGGTCTTTATTAGTAGTGAAAATTATGAAGAAACATTTAATGCATCCCAAAGGTCGGATGTATACTCAACCCATCTTGGACTGTATAGATACGATTATAGCGTTGTAATTGTACCAACACTCATTACAATTCTAACGTTGTAAAATTATGCAGTGTGACAAAAGTTAATAGATTAATGCTTTACGAAAGCGAGCGGAGATTGCGCTGGCGCCGCTGTCAGTGATGGCGGAACGCGAGAACGTCGTCGACTTCACCGTACCGTACTACGACCTGGTCGGCATTACGATCCTCATGCTCAAACCAAAGGCGAGTTGCGACCATTGATGAAAAGCATTTTACTTCTTAATAAAGCTAAAAATATCCGTGTTAATTTCAAAGCAAGAAACTGAATACCCTTTTCATCTTTACATATGCAAACACGTTGAAATTCAATAAAGTATATATTGCGCTTATGTGTTTATTCATTAAAATTATTTAAATGTATTTTCTTCGATGAATTCTCGTAGACTCCAACGTCGCTGTTCCGTTTCCTGACGGTGCTGGAGCCAGAGGTGTGGGGCTGCATCCTGGTCGCCTATGCCTTCACGAGGTGAACTTGATTTAACACGTTGACTACGAAGTGGTACATATGCGTACCACTAAATGTATTTCCCCAGAACGTAGTGATACATAATTAAGGTTGCCTAAAATCGGCCAAATCCGAGAGCAAAAAATATAACTCAGTACTCACTGCAGTGAGTGACAGAGAGCGCATTTTCTCGTCGACGAAAACTTGAGATCATGGACAGACGGACGGACAGACAGACAGACGGACGGACGGACATGGCGAGCACAATAGTGCATTTTTTCCATAAATGAGAAAATGCGCTAAAAAGGCCAAAATAAGGCCGATAACTCAATATATACTAGTTAATTGGTAGCTTCTGATATAAAAATTCTATTTATTTTCTTTTTGCAGTATTTAAAATTTAATTAGGAAGCACGCCTACCATAAATTTTAGCCGGCCAACGCAATTGAGAAAACCTAAATCACGGAATTTGTCCGGAAAAAATGACCGTCTGGCAAAACTGTTTAAAAACTGTACTAAAAATGAAATAATAGTACAAGATGAAGCAATCGTTGTCAACGTGTTAACGATAATTGTACTCTGGATGATCGCAAGAGTTACCGATTTAAAGTATTATAGTTATAGTTACCGATCTAAAGTATTAGTACGCATTTCTCAATAAAAATAACTAAAAAGATCAATAAATTTTAGATAACTCAAAGTTTATTAAAAAATTTCTTAGAAAGAGGTAAAATGGTATTGAAGGAAATATGTACCCAACTTTTCTGCTACCAAAAGGAGGCAACAAAATAAGGGTTAAAACTTTGGGTCACATATTGTATATGAGACGCAAGAATTTGTGTCATATATACACACACCATTCAGCGTGTTGCGTATACCTAAGCGTTCCCATTCCCACATAACAGATATATTGAGCTTTGTGTGTATACGGTGTTCTGTTTGACGGAACATGAGCGTTACATTAATTAAAGAATTTGGATTCGGCGAGCATCTGTTTGACGAAACAAAACCGTCAATTGCTGCAATGCCGCAGTGAGCTTTTGTTCGATGAATCATGATTGTTCAGTATTCTTCTGTTGGTGTTCAATGAAGGTGTTGCTGTTCAATGAACCTCCACCGTTAATTTTGTTCAGTTCTAAGGGTGCCGCAGCTTCTCGATGGAACCTATTCGTATATTTTTATTCTATCCACAGTGTGCTGCTGTACATATTCGATAGGTTTAGCCCGTACAGCTACCAGAACAACAGAGAAAAATACATCGATGACGACGAGAAAAGAGAGTTCAGCTTCAAGGAGTGCCTATGGTTCTGCATGTGCTCACTCACTCCTCAGGTGAATTCCTTTCACGTTATTTCTGTCAAAAGATTGAAAGTGTATCATCTAATGTGGAGAAAAATACTGAAAAACTTTTTAAAGCAATCAAGCTCTATATAATTTCGCAGATATGGATAGAAATTTAGAATCGATTGAAAAAGAATAAGTGAATTACAATCCATGTCTCGTCTAAATTGTAACCTTGGTTCAGTTCATGAATGTTGACATGAACTGCTTGAAATCATGTAAATATAAGATAATATATCAACAGGACGGCAGGGAAAGATAAAAGTATTTGGCTAATACTCGTACATAAGTATGTTTTAGGTTATTAATATTTTATATTATCCAAGTTAATGCAGAAAATTTGCAACTAATGAGTGATTCGTGAACCAGGGAGGTGGTGAAGCCCCCAAGAACTTGTCGGGTCGGTTGGTGGCGGCCACTTGGTGGCTGTTCGGCTTCATCATCATCGCCTCGTACACCGCCAACTTGGCTGCCTTCCTCACAGGTCTCGTCAATATATCTCACGATATTCATCATTGGATATGTATTATTGTAGGGATTTGACAAATCTTATGAGTCTTTTTTATATTAAATACTAATAATATATATATATCGCAGGAAATTCATTCGGCAAAAGTACAGAATTCACTCAATATCACATTGTGGTCATGCATTGATAGATCCTAACTGTGAAGAATATATCGCTTAATATGGAGTTTAAAATCACGGGTATTAAAGCTATCAAGTTTTTATAAGAATTTATGATTTTTTTGTGACGCCGCAGTCTCCCGTTTGGACACGCCCATCGAGTCGCTCGACGACCTGGCCAACCAGTACAAAGTGCAGTACGCGCCCATGAACGGCACCTCGACCATGACGTACTTCCAGCGTATGGAGTACATCGAGAAGAAATTCTACGAGTTAGTTACTTGCTTTTTAAATAGGAAACTGTGTCACGTGAATATCTATGAAGGATTTTGCTGATGAATATAGAGTTAATGATTTTAGCGAAATTTCGATAATGTATGGTCAAGGTTTTGTGTGACAGCTCATACTCAAAATATGCGTGATAAAATCATTCCGGGAAACTTTATCTAGATTCCGAATATTATTAATTTAGCAGAAGGTAAATATTTTTTATTGTTAATGAAATAGCTTACCTAGATGAATATGTTCTAGTTTTCTCTCGCAGTTAAATGCAGAAAATGCTCTTATGAAATCAACTGTAAAAACCTATAAGATATAATTAACTATTGAAGAGCCTCGTTATACACAGCACGGAAACTTTTTCTGAAAGTTTTTGATCACATTTACCATTGATGATTAAAAATCTATCCTCTTTCTATATGCATAACAAAAATTATTTGAATCAGTTGGGTTATATTTCCCTCAGCAATTATTTTGCATGTAATACATCGCCTGGCTTTCAGTAATATCAAAAAGTAAAATTACTCTTTATCAAATGTCCCTGTCTTTGAAATTCATTAGTTCAATATCAATATCAATATTATCCCCAATAGGATCTGGAAGGATATGTCACTGAACGACTCGATGAGTAACGTGGAGCGCGCCAAACTAGCCGTGTGGGACTACCCAGTCAGCGACAAGTACACCAAGATGTGGCAGAGCATGCAGGAGGCCGGACTGCCCACGGACTTTGCCAGCGCCCTCGCCAGAGTCAGGGCATCCAAGTCTACCTCGGAGGGATTTGCGTACCTGGGTAAACAATTAATCATGGTATAAGAATGAGTTATGAATAAAGAGAATTCTTCTAACTGGACGAAGAATATGAGGTAAAAGCTATATATTCAAATTGTAATTTTTAAAAATCAATTTATGAGTTACCTAATTCGTGTGATGTGATTTGTTAAGACATTTCATTTGTTATGAAGGTGATGCGACGGACATCAGGTATCTGGTGCTGACCAACTGCGACCTGCAGATCGTGGGCGAGGAGTTCTCGCGTAAGCCTTACGCCATCGCCGTGCAGCAAGGCTCGCCGCTCAAGGACCAGTTCAACGATGCGTACGTTGTTCTCATTAATAATATTATTTGATGGCGGATGTGGCCTGCAGTACAAACGAGCCAGTAACCTTTTAAAACAAATGCGGTGATATCACCATGATGATTTAGCAATGGGAATGTAATGGCAATTTGTCAATGTAAAGTTATAAATTATATCATTTTAGGAAATAATGCGAAATGGAATGCATTAAGTAAAATTGTGAATTGGTGTCAGAGTATTCTGTATCAACCTTTTGAATACAATACAGTCAGAAGTTATATATGATTCAAACTATTATTTTACCAGTGGCAAAGCTTATAAATAAAAAAGTTGATATCCTCCTGCCGATGGAAATACATTCGTGACGTTCTTTCAGCATTCTGAAGTTGCTGAACCAGCGCAAGCTGGAGACGCTGAAGGAACGATGGTGGAATCAAAATCCCGAGAAGAAGTCCTGTGAGGCCGAGAACGACCAAAGCGACGGTATCAGCATCGAAAACATTGGTAAGATCTGCAATGGGTGACTGAAAATTATTTATTTCGGTTCTCAAGCTGCTCATGAGTATTTCCTAAACATATTTTAGAAACACACCATATTACCATTTTGGGGACTGTCACCGCAAATATACTTATTCTTTGACATCATTTGATCAAATCAACGTTATTAGTTTGTTGAACAAGAATTTTAAACTGAAGGGTTTTATCTAACTCTCAAACTAATAATGTAAATTTATTATAACAAACTGATTTTTTTAAAGCAACCAGGTGTTTTAAAGTAGATTACACTAAGCTGTTCATTTCTCCATTCGTGATTGCGTAGAAGAAATTTTTAGTTGCTCCGTGCTGATGGATAGAATTTATGAACCATACAAACTGAAAAGTTGTATGATTCAAGTGTCGAATTCGGTTTTAATTTTTCCCAAAGAATTAGAACTACATTTAGAACATTATTTTAGCGGCATGCCTTTACCACGCTTGCAGTGAATATTCAATCGCTAAGAGATATTTCCACGCGGCAGGTGGTGTGTTCATCGTAATTTTCGTTGGCATTGGTCTGGCGTGCATCACGCTTGCCTTCGAGTATTGGTGGTACAGGCATCGTAAGGGGGCAACCGTGGCTGACTCCACCAGGGTGGTGGCGGTGCGGCAATTTGCCGAAAAGCCCAGCAACAATTTCAGCAAGTGAGTGAAGTACGTTCTTCTTGCTGAGTAATAACGTCGAAGCATCCAAATTATTTAGAGCGCATGGAAGCAGCGTAGACTTCGAGAAAATCAGCATCAACAACAATTAATAAAATCGACAAAAAATAATGCATCAAATAAATAATGAACAATCCTAGTGCATACGTATTATTTGTTGGGATAATTAACGCAGAAGAAGAGTTACGAGGCACAGAAGTTCATCGCTATACAATATTACCAATTAACAGGCTGGAAGTTTACATTATAATTTGGAGAGAAAAATATGGTGCGAGAGTAGTACAAGTAAAAAAGTGGTGTCCTATAAGCGAGTTCAGCTCTGAAAAAAAGAAAAGAATAAGCTTAGAATAAAAAGGTTCTCTCTCCTCTCCTATTAGTGTAAAGAAAGAAAGAAATAAATTATTCGCAAGCCTGCCATTTACTTCCGGAATTTGTTGTATATGTGTTATTTATGGCAGTAGATTTCTGTATACTAAAATATTGAAGATTTGTAATACTGATGGCATAATTTTTGGTTCTGATGAATCTTTATCTGACGTGAATTCATTCACTCAGAGTTATTGGGAACTAATATTTAATTTCCTCACAGTTAACGAGCTCCTATGTGAAATTTTCGTGAGTTTCTCTAAATTTCTGTTTAATTTTATTCTATGTGATGTTGAAAGCATTGCAATTTTAGGCCTAAATTGATTGCACAAATTTGTAACATGCGTTTGTAACATGTTAATAGTGAGGATATATTTGATTTCCACATAACTATTTATTAACTGTATTCTCTTGCTATCAACTGCGTACTTAATGCAATGACAACCTTAAAAATGTTCATGCTAGTTTGTTTGTAGTAAACTGAATGCCCCTGAAACATGACACTGCATACTTTAATGACCCTGACTATCTTATCCCTTTGGTGTCCAGCTGTAAATATCTTTTGCCTTTCATGAATGGCGTTTTATATTTATGTAAAAAGCACATTCGTCCAATTGAAGAAATATATCAGCCTTAATTTCAGGCAGTGGGCAGGTCGCAATATGTAACTTGTAAATTTTTTCTTTCGATGAATAACGTTGTATGAATGCAACGCGGTGTTTCGTCATACGCTATGAAAATTGGTCGCTAAGGGGGCTAAGATACACGTAGGTTCAATTTGTTCGTAGCAAAAGGAGGTTGTTCGTAGCAAACTGAATGCATCTAGCACATGATCCTGTTACCTGAAAAATTAAGATGTTTGATTTCAGATATGAAAAACACTAAGACCTGTCCTAATATTATTACTATCATCGATATTACGACCATCTGCACACACAATTTAAGTCATCTCATTTCCAAATTATTGTGTGAAGTTTATAGTTCAAAAATGATCAGCAATGTCTATATCAATAATTTAGATACGTTTGAAATTTACGTTTATTATCGCTGTAATTTGATGGTCTACAATAGTGAATCGAGTTAAGCTGTTTGTTCAGCACTAGATTGTCAAACATTTGTGGTTGGTTGTTTATTAGTTAGTTGAAGTTTTCTACTGTTAAGTTTTACTTATCCTAAATTCGTATATTAAAATTAATTTAATGTTACTAAAATTTAACCTAATAATTAACAATTAAGTAACATTTACTGAAATTGTGCATCATTATCGACAGCTGATTTGATGCGAATATTGAAGAAATAGCAACACGATAACTTTCTGCTTTGAGTATTAGGTTTATAACCGATGAACTAATACTATTATCTCAAATGAATAATAAAATAATTTTAATTGTCCTTGCCTTATAACAACTGACATTGTTCAGAATATATTTGAATCAATTAATCAATCATGCCATTTATATCAATAGTCTTGATCACCATAAAGTCGAGTAAACTATAAATGTAGAATACAATTCTGCAATAATTCACAGTACCTTCAATAATGTCGAAATTTTGTATGGGTATTTTTTTAAGGAAACAGGAAATGTGCTTTTTAACCTTAAAATTTTTCTCTATGTCAGGGACAACAAAAGATTGCATGGAGACATGCATCCTGTTGATAATGCATGGTGATGACTTCGGTTGCGTTGAACGACATTCAAAAGGTGACTTGGCACCCAGTTTGGATTCGGAGCAGAAGTCTGCGCCGATTGAAGCAACAAATTAAGCAGGTTTAGGAGAAAATCGGCATCCCAGCAGATTTGAAACTGGATTTAAAACGCCCTTGCCAGAAGCGGCTGATTCGCAGCATGAATCTCATATTATGAGTACATATATAAGCCTCATAAAGAGACATGCCTACCAAATGCCTGCTACCCCACTGATTCTAGCCTGCCTTGAGCGGCTTCTGCCCGTCTCAAACACTGCTTCAAGTTTTAACTGTGCATGGTCGCCTTCACTCGAAGAAAAAGCAAGACTCATCCGATATATTGAGATCATCATGTGCATAATTTGATTTATTTTCTCACTGTAGATCAACCAAAGTAATCTTCAGTAGAATTAAATGATTTTATGATTAGATTAGCTGTTTAGTTATTGATCTAATGAAGTTTGCACCTTTTTGTTACTTCTATGATGACGAAAAATTTAATGGCAGCATTAGAGGAAATAAATATCCGTGCACACTAGGCCATGCGACTGTAGCATTAGAATTATAGCAAAGACTATGTCATGACCGATGAGGCGTTAAGAAAATCTGGACGATTTGCTGACTGTGGTGTCGTAACTATTGGTAATGCATATTATTTGCTAATTGATATGAAATATTATTGGTAGAGGGAAGAAGAAGCTTGATTGTCTCAGATCCTTTCATTAGTTTATATATTTTTCATTTCTCCGGCACTACTTGGGTAGCCTAGTGCATAGCTGGCATCAATAATAACAAAATGAAATGCAAATATTTGTGTATTTACTGCAGGCTTTCAGTTTGATTTCATAGTCATGGAATAATTATAAGCTCTTTAGACGTACTCGTACCTAAATGAAAAGACTCAATTTGTGAGATGAAATAAATGTTTCACAAGCTTGCTCTATTCTAGCAATTAATATAATTATTTGAATTGTATGACCACTCATTATTATTAATTATTTTTAATTGATGTTCACCTCTATAAAAGTCAAGGCTACACTAGAAAAATAATTGGAAAGATTGTCAATATTTATCAAACTATTATATTCGTTATTTTTATGATGAATTTTTTTATCCTCCCACGTAAGTCAATGTGAATACGTGAGAAAATAAATGAATGAATGTCCCATCTTCATTATCTAAATATTTTTCTTACAGGAGAAATTACTAGTTTTTAGGCCATCAGTGATTATCCGTCTGAGTGAAAAAGGTTTGAAATAAAAGCTGGCAATCCAGTGAACTGCGGTGTTAGAACAGCCTTCAAATCATGGTAGAGACTAAAATGGGACTCACAATCGTAAATTATTTAAAGTTGGATATTAATATCAAGATATCTTATTGAAATACTGATTTAAGTTGTAGTCTTATATGGAAGGTTTTTGTCAATCACTCTAATTATGGAACACCTACAGCGCTATGTGCAGACCGTAACCTTTGTTGGAACCTTTCATGGAACTAATACTATTCTGATGAGAGGTAAAATTTTGATAAATGTGATTAAATGATAGTAAATTAGACTTTCATCACTCGATTTTAGTGATAAAACAGTAACAGTATAAACTCGATTTTGAAGCTAAATTGAAACGTTTTCAGTGGTGAAATCAACCATTTATAGATATGTTTCTATCTAAGGCTCTCAGTTTTGTTTCACGGCATTATTTAAAAGTTCTCACAGTTTTAGTTGTAATGTAAGAAATAATCAAATTGACGATCCCAAAATCAATTAAAAAGGAAGATAAATTAAAAAAAATACAAAGCAAATGTATTTAAAATGACGACGATGCTTGCAAAGACTACGTTCATGGTAAACTAATCGTAAGTTCAGTTTGTAGAACTCAAGCACATATAGAAAACAAATTATGAAACTTCTACCATACATAATACGCATGCGACTGGCGTTATATCCAACAGACAAATTGCTTTACTAACTCATATCCGACCATTTCACGGCCACTTCAAAAATATTTGAAAATCCGCAATCGAAAACAAGGTATCCATTAACGAAGTGTGCTCAGCATCATACATGCGACCAAGTACTGAGAATATCTTACTCTAGAGCCACCCAAGGATCCTGAGACTCAGTCCCTACTCTTTGTATACACCGCCCTTCACAATTACCAATTGGGTGTACCAGTGAGAATCATGGACTGGCGTCCGGTGTAGCGCGCACCCGGCTCAGACGGAAAGAGGTTCGAACTGGTGCACTCAGCACGACTATGCCATGGCACTCGAACATTTAAAGTTTGAGAAAAGTGTGAGGTGTTTTGCATCCCCGCCCCGTCGTGCGTGGTTTAAACGAGCCCGTGAGAGCCCGAACGAGACCACAGCCCATTAACTCTAATAATTTACCATTCGAAATTGTCACCAGCCTATCGCCATTCATTTGCACATGTGAGCAAAAGGGTGAGGTGGTTCTGTGAGCAAACCGCCCACCAGAGCTAGTAACTTGCAGCAGATCAGTTATCCTGAGAGAAACTTCGGGTGGAACCAGCTACTGCATGGTTCGATTGGTCTTTTGCGCCCTATGCTGAAGTGATGCCATGGATTTGCACGTCACAACGGCTACGGGCCTCCACCCCAGTTTCCTGGGGCTTCACCCTCGCCAGGCATAGTTTACTATGTTTCGGGTCATAGCATATGTGCTCCGCGGTGCTCACCGTCCAGCCCGCAACTCCCGTGAAGGAGAATCCTGCCGAATCAAACAATCGTGAGCCCGGAACGTGCGCCTGTCCCAAGCATAGGAAAGCAGGATCAGCTCGGTACTAGCAACCACTTTGACATGACATGTCTGACGGCGCAGCAACGCGCCACCACACCTTTGCTAACGAAAACTAAGCGCATGGGGGCTAGAGATGGCAGTGAAACAAAGTTAAGTTTCCTAAATTTTTCTTTTCTTTATTAATCAAGTTAATTGCAACGTATATTATTGCATAGGCATATGAAGATTGGCCGGGCTGCGAGAACGGATAGGGTCAAGGAAGTTCCCCACCAAAGCGACGTGCCAGATCTGCAGCCATTTGCCCCCAGCATTTTCGTTCAGTGCTGCCACAAAAAATATGGAAATAAATTTAAAATCATAAATATCATTAATGGTAACAGTATTTGTATATAGATCTATTATATTTATAAAATTCATCATCTATTTAATTTCTCCATATATATTAAATACATCTATTAACTTATTAATTCATCAATTTTGTACTAATATAGTTTTAGGTCAACTATCATTTAGTAATATTAAGGGCACAGCCCATTTATCAATTAACAAAGAAATGGCATGCCAGCATGCAATATATTAAATTTCTCCTATTATCCATTAAATATCCATTAAGGTGTAATTATTAAAATTTAATATCTATTGTATAATTATTTAAATTAAATATTGGCAACACCTTTATTTTAGTTTGAGGTCAGATCCTATGTCAGTCTCTGAAACTGTCTGGCACACACCCGCACGACTAAGTGGTACCGAAGACTTACGTCTCATAAAAGACTGAAGCTGGTGCAGTCGGCTGAAGCAGGTAAGTGGTCCAGCTGGGGCTCAGGAGAACATGCGGACGTGGAGATCTTAGCACCTCATGGCTCCCATCACGTGCGACGAAGAAGCAGTACCGTAACTCCGGTCATAGCGTCCTGGGATACTGATAAATCGACAGCCGCAGGAGGAACTGGTCACGGAATGAGGTGCTAGAGAAGCCTGCGGATAGTTAGTCGATTGGCTTGGAAGTTTGGTTCCATTCAAAGGGAATCCAGAAACCGCAAGCCTCTAATACCTCAAAATCGCTAAGGTGGTGTCAGGCAATTATGTAGTTTCAATGTAACTTCGTACTGAAATGCATTATAGAACGAAAATTATAGTTTTAAGTCTAGTTCTAGCTTAGGTTATTAATAGAACTCTATGCAACCTTAAACTTAACATTTAACGACAAACTTAAACTTAAAACTATACTATTTTCGACATTTGCTTTCAATTCGCCCTCGGATTTTGTGGGATGCTCGGGTTTTGTGGGATTGCACACATACTATATATACTCCTTGGCCCGTGCTTCGAGACGTGACCGATGGTCGCCAGGACATCATCAATCAGACCAGTATGACGGGCGGGTTGGGAGCTTTATGTGTCTGGTCAATAGCAACTTTGTCACCGAATGGCTAACACCACTTCCACGAGTTGGCAGCCAGAGCCAGATTTCACAGGCGTGACGCGAGCCATAACCCACATACGGACATGATCCCCGTGCGGGATTTGCCCATCCAAGCGTCAATTTCAATAGCCTAGAAACTGGATAAAACATCCTGCACATCAAGGCTCAGCGGGTGACCAAGCAACGAGCTGTGGTGGGCAAGGACCGTGTACGTGATGCTTCGAGAGGTTCGCCCAGCACGAAACCGAGATAGGAGCGATACAAAGCCCAAATTCCTGTGAACAAAGCCCATGAACGACCGCGCCTCGATCCTTATAATAGTACCTTTCACGAAATCGCATTGCAGTAAGAAACAAATTTATAAAGTGATTTTTGAGGCATTTTATACCGACGAATCAACGGAACGGCCACTTTTTCATTTAGCAATTGATGTCGCCAGGCAATTGAAAATTTCCTCGGTGTTCCACAAAAATCTCAGTAAATACAAATTCTCGTGTCTGTTCTCCAAGAGTTTAAATTTTCGCGTTCTCTCAGTCAGCTACAGATTCTTTTATTTGAGGTTTATTTTTTTCTTTGTCGATTTAAATGCCTCGCTGTTCATTAATTCAAAGCGTCTGCAATTTCAATGCTCCTCAATCGACACTTTAGAGTTTTTTGCTAGTTCATTCAATCAAACAAGTCGATAAATGTTTAATTTTAAGAGGATTGAATGCTCAACTCTCCAAACCCCAAAGAATCTTGCCTTATGGCTTAAGTCGCTTAAACCTAATATAACCATGTTAAAGTCATTTGTATCATTATCTTAATGAATGATAAGCTAGATACCATGTTTAAGTCACCTGTATCTTTATTTCAATGAATGATAAGCTACATGCCAGGTTAAAATCGCCTGCATCTCTCATTATCTTAATGAGTGATAAGCTAGATACCATTATTAAAGTCGACTGTATCTTTATCTTAATGAATGATAAGCTAGATACCAGGTGAAAGTCGCCTGCATCTCTCTCTATCTTAATGAGTGATAAGCTAGATACCATATTAAAGTCGACTGTATCTTTATCTTAATGAATGATAAGCTAGATACCAGGTGAAAGTCGCCTGCATCTCTCTCTATCTTAATGAGTGATAAGCTAGATACCATGTTAAAGTAGACTGTATCTTTATCGTAACGAATGATAAGCTAGATACCATGTTTAAGTCGACTGCATCTTTATCGTAATGAATGATAAGCTTGATATCATGTTAAAGTCGACTGTCTCTTTATGTAATGAGTGATAAGCTAGATACCATATTAAAGCTGCCTGCACCATTATCTTATAATGAATGAAAAGCTAAATATGATTTTAAAGTCATTTGAATCATTATCTTAATGAATGATAAGCTATGTAACATGTTAAAGTCGCCGGTATCTTTATCTAAATTAATGGTAAGGTATAGATAAGATACCTTATTGAAGTCACCTGTCTTACTATCTCAATTAATTCTCAGCGCAGGGAAGACCGCGGGCATTTTCATCGCTTCTTCCAACCTCCGTAATTTATTACTTCTAATCATTCGTGATCATAAAATCCTTGCCAAGTATTATTCCGTCATATGAAATATTCCTATTTTTCACGTTCCATTACCACATTCATAACACATGTAGCTGACAAAAAACGTCTTTTCTTTTATATTACATTTATTTAGGTGTACTAGTATTTTGGAGCTTAATTTTGGCGTCAAAAGCTATCCTGAGTAACTTGTAATGTTCTCTTATGATAGGATCACGGCAGTAATAG